AAACAGACAGAAGGTAATATACAGACAGGCAACAAACGCACCAAGACATTAAGGACATTTAGGTCATATTAACACATTTAGGTCATTCGTTCATAACACTACATTTAGCTGCATGAATGATTACAAGCCAATCGTCAAAATTATTAGACTCTTACTTTAGCATGAGACACAAGGTGATTAGAATTGCAGTATATTTGTGCATGATTTAGATGAGTTCTATTATTAAAACTATTATTGTTATTTAAAGTTATAGACGCGGAGAAGTTTAGAATTATTGATTTTGACTGCATGATCTTGGTAATACGGATATTTAAAGCAGTGTTTTCAACCTCTGAACCGTGGCTCGTTTCTCATTTAAGAACAATCACATGCACAGTTGAAACTGGTGCTAGAAAGAGAACTGCAGCTTTTAATGGATGTTGCATTTAGTACAAAATGGTTTGTTCAGACAATTAAAGTTTGAAAAATGATTTAAAGCATTTCTGAATTTTGGCTAAAGGTGATTTTGGATCATTTCTGATAACACACTAACGCACCACGGTCCACTGGTTGAAAACACGGATGTAGAGACATTTTATGAAATCTTTTTCATAAAACATGTTTCTCTTCCAAATAGATAAATTAGAAACAATTAAGACAATTATGTCTTTGATATAACTGTTGGCAGTTTATCTGAGACATGATTGGTGCAAGTACAACAACACACATAAAACAATGGTCTTTTCTCCACATGAACGTGAAACAAAGGTGAAGTATTAAAGTTTGAAATTAATTTACATTTTTTAATGAATCCGACCTGGCTTTACTGAAAAAAAGGGAAAAACATTTATAGCACGTGCACGAGTCTTAAAATAACAACAAGAGCTCATTAAAAATATAGGGGACACAGTCTGTGAGAAGCCCGAGTACAGACCACGTGGTTTAAACACTAAAGTTGGAAATGGATCCTTTTAGGAAAAATCTCTTAAAAAGCTCTGCATGTTCTGCAGGCTCTGAAAGTTGCAACAATAAAATAACTCATGAGACAATTGTAATTGGACATGGAAAAATATAACAAAGTTAAATTACAGGCCTCCTGTGTTGTCTATATGTTTTGTGTGTGTTATATGTTTGTGTGTGCTATATGTTTTGTGTGTGTTATATGTTTGTGCGTCATGTCAAGTACACTACGTTGACCTTAACAAACTCTGGACCAATATACTAACGTGGGGAGTCGGCCTGTGTGAGTGTGTTGTGAGTGTGTTGTGAGTGTGTTGTGAGTGTGTTGTGAGTGTGATGTGAGTGTGTTGTGAGTGATGCGAGTGTGATGTGAGTGTGTTGTGAGTGTGTTGTGAGTGTGTTGTGAGTGTGTTGTGAGTGTGTTGTGAGTGTGTTGTGAGTGTGTTGTGAGTGTGTTGTGAGTGTGTTGTGAGTGTGGAGTGAAATGAGGAGTGCTGAACGGAATCATGGAATAACAAATGTTTTCTGTAATGTTTTAATGTGATCATGGAATAATTATTTTTTGTCAACAGCATACGGTGTAAGTACTAGAGATTCAAAGATAACAAGCTTTATTGAACAGGTGTAAAAGTGAGAGTACTCTGGGATGAGTACTCTGAGAAAGTACTCTGCGGAAAGTACTCTGAGATGAAATACCTTGCTGAAGGTACTGGGAGCCCCTCCCTCTGCTGTTTGTCCGGACAGTGATTCGGTCCAACCGCAGTGAGCTGTCGTGGGTTGAAGGACAACTTTGGTTTGTAATTCACATTTAGGGGAGTATAAAATTAGAAACATACATATTGTTAAGTCTGTATTTGGCTACAGCCTCTGCCCTGATGCCACACACCGTCTGTCAATGCAGTTATGTTTTGCCCAATTGGATTGATTGACAGGCTGCACAATGCGAAGAGAGGGAAGTGGGCGTTTCTTGTGTTCTAATGTTTCTTTTTCAGATGAAAGATAAACTGCACCTGCTTCAGGGATAACACAGTAGTATGGATCATGAGGAAATGAGCCTCTACTTTGGCACCAAAGCCCACAATATGAATTGAGGACGATCCGGGAGAAACAACTGGAGATGATGGGAACAGTAATCTACACACACACAGAGACGCATGTTTTATACTTGGCCCATGACCAACAGAGGGAGTATAGTAATGTTATTGTCATAGGTGGTCATGGTCCTTAACCTTCTAAATCATTAGAAAGAAGTGTAAAACATATATTTACAAGACCAAATAAATAATGGAAAGGGCAGCCTAAAAGCAAAATGGAAAAACTATTAAATAATTTCGGAGTTGCAAAAATAAAATAAAATTCTTTATTTGTCCCATAGGGGGCCATTCTAAATTCAGTGTTGTGCAAATTCAAAAGGAGAAATAATAACGCTTATAATGCACACATCAAACAGATCTACTCTTTAAGATAATAGATCATATAATAATAATAATAGAATAGAATGAAATAGTCTGGAGCTATAATGTCATTGGATTCAAGGAGCTATAGGTTAAAGTGTCGCTAAGAAGAGGTGTCAGAATAAACAATAGTAATAATAGTTAGACTAGTGAATAATCAAAATAGTTCTATTGTGGAAATAAGTATCAATAAGGTCAAATTGTTCTAATAACTAAAGTAAAAAGGAATCAAATGGAGTCAGATTTTAGATGTTTCTGTTTTCCACATCTGTAGGATCTAGTGCAGATGTGTTTATAGAGAGTAGTATTAAAATGCAGACATAGAACGACAGGCTTTAACACAATTTTAAATCTAAAAATAGCTCAAATATAACATTGCTCTTGATGCAGCCTCTGAGCTGCTCCATTGGAGAACAGGTTAAATGTTATTGTTTATTACAAACAGCTGATGTATTCACACATATTGAGTTTGGGACAACTCTTTAAACAGTTATAAGCAGCGGACAGAAGCTATGAATGTGCTTTTGTTTATTAAATAATTAATTTCATAGCCATATAATCGTAGAGAACATTTAAAATAGTTATCTTCCTTCCGCTCCCTTTCAGGCAACTTGATTAGATTCATGTCTTTAATATTGGAGAACGACTGTGTTGTTTTTGGAATTGTCTGAAATACAATACATAAAATAGTGATTTGCAGAACAAGAACCGGCCAATGAAAAATCATCTATTGCCGATGCTATTGCTACAACTAAAACCACAACTGCGACAAATGCAATAAATGTTAAGTGTTCAGTCTGGCAGACAAAAAGGTTGACTTTTAGTCTGGGGGGGACTGAGCAACTGTTAAAATGGTTTAAAATGATGAAGTATGAGTATTTTAGCGTTTTAGTAGATGTTAAATAGTAGTAAAAAAAGTCGAATTTGATCATTGTTCATAAACACACTTCAGCGTAAGAGTTAAAACGGTACCATACAGTGTGATCCTTCTGATAGAGCAGCTAAACTGTTAGAATCAGAATTATTTTACAGCCATTGAAAGTGACAGAAGTCACAAATTGGGAATATGCTTTGGCTCAAGCTACAACCGAGCTTTGGAGTCACAATAGAGTAGAAATAGATGCTTTCAAAAATAGAGATTATTTTTAGCCAGGGCTAATATCAAACGGTAAAAGGACCATTTCCTACATAATATGTCCAAAAGTATTTACTTCAAAAGTAGAGAAGGTTCATTACAGTTCATGCACAGTTTTATTAGATACTTGTCAAATTCGTTTCAAACATAGGTGAATGTTGACAATGCAAGGAGTTCATGAGTGTAGCTTAGATTAATGAGATAGATTAGAACCAATAGAGATTCAAAAACATTTAAAAGCATTTTAATGTATTTGGGTATAGCACAAAAGTAGATATTTAGGTATTTTTGAGAATTTTAAGAGCTGTCGATTTGTCAGCAACAGATTAGAGAATCAAAATACAGTTGTAGAGGGACTGACCCCAGAGAAACCTGCTAAGATAAGATAAGATAAGATAAGATGTGCTTTATTTATCTCACAGAGGAGAAATTTACATGTCACATTTGGCATGGATAGAACACTCAGACTGTGCAAAAGGAGGAAATGTGCAAACATGTTACATGCAGGATATATGTGCAATAAAGTGACAATAATTATGTACAACAAAAGTGACAAGTGTCAATTGGAAACAGTGTCAATAGATTAAAATAAAATAGATTAGCTCCTGTAAGGATAATACCAATTTGATTAATGATAATACCAATTTGATTAATGATGTACATTCATCCCAAACTGTCTGAGAGGAGGAAGTGACAGCACTTCCTGGTTCAACAAATGTATTTGGAAAAATGAGCAAAGCCCCACGTTGTGCACAAAGCCACTGTTAATGAAAGCAAAACCATAGTATAGAGAGATTTATTAGATAAAAACATATGTTTTGAATGTGGTTGTGTGTTGTTTGTTTTCTCTGTATTGACTCTTCACAGATATCGAGCCTAAAGCACAAGTATTGATGATGAACGAGGAGGTGGATGTGACCTATTGTAAAGATAGGTCAAAAGAGGGACTGACGAATATTCACAAAATGCTGCACATCAGACAAAAGAATGTGCACTCAGGAAAAACCCCAAGGACACAAGATAGTACAGGAATCATAAAGATAACCAGCTTACAAAACCAGACAATTATTGACTCCATTAATAAACAATGCTCTCGCCCACTTTTGACGAGAGCAAAGTCCAACACAATCAGGCGCCGCAGAGGTGGGGGCATTGTTTGCTAAATCTGATATGGAAGACCAAAACCAAGACCAAAATCCAGACCAGAGACCAGTCTCAGACCATATGACGTCATCGGACATGTTGATAAAACTGGGGGTAGGACATTTTGAGCAGTCTGAGCAGGGATAGAGAGACAGAGAACATGGCAGAGCGCCTGCATGTTCTCTGCACACTTTCAGGCCTGGAGGGACAGTTTAGAATGGCTCAGCATAGGGTTAGTTTTAGAGAATTAATGGCTCCAAGAGTTTTGTATCGATATTTAATTGTAAAGAGAATTAAATGTTCTATTTTTAACTCTTGCATTCTTGGCCTTATTTCTGTATCAAATTCTGAACACGTCTGTCAAAGCTTTTTTTGACAACAAAACACTTGTTGAAACATTCGTTGAAACACTTGTTGAAACACTTGTTGAAACACTTGTTGAAGCACTTGTTGAAACACTTGTTGAAGCACTGGTTGAAACACTGGTTGAAACACTTGTTGAAACACTTGTTGAAACACTGGTTGAAACACTTGTTGAAGCACTTGTTGAAGCACTTGTTGAAACACTGGTTGAAACACTTGTTGAAGCACTTGTTGAAACACTTGTTGAAACACTTGTTGAAACATTCGTTGAAACACTTGTTGAAACACTTGTTGAAGCACTTGTTGAAACACTTGTTGAAACACTTGTTGAAGCACTTGTTGAAGCACTTGTTGAAACACTTGTTGAAACACTTGTTGAAACACTTGTTGAAGCACTTGTTGAAACACTTGTTGAAACACTTGTTGAAACACTTGTTGAAGCACTTGTTGAAGCACTTGTTGAAACACTGGTTGAAACACTTGTTGAAGCACTTGTTGAAGCACTTGTTGAAACACTGGTTGAAACACTTGTTGAAGCACTTGTTGAAACACTTGTTGAAACACTTGTTGAAACATTCGTTGAAACACTTGTTGAAACACTTGTTGAAGCACTTGTTGAAACACTTGTTGAAACACTTGTTGAAGCACTTGTTGAAGCACTTGTTGAAACACTTGTTGTAGCACTTGTTGAAACACTTGTTGAAACACTTGTTGAAACACTTGTTGAAACACTTGTTGAAACACTTGTTGAAGCACTGGTTGAAGCACTTGTTGAAACACTTGTTGTAGCACTTGTTGAAACACTTGTTGAAACACTTGTTGAAGCACTTGTTGAAGCACTTGTTGAAACACTTGTTGAAGCACTTGTTGAAACACTTGTTGAAGCACTTGTTGAAGCACTTGTTGAAGCACTTGTTGAAACACTTGTTGAAACACTGGTTGAAACACTGGTTGAAACACTTGTTGAAACACTTGTTGAAACACTTGTTGAAGCACGTGTTGAAGCACTTGTTGAAACACTTGTTGAAGCACTTGTTGAAACACTTGTTGAAGCACTTGTTGAAGCACTTGTTGGAGCACTTGTTGAAACACTTGTTGAAACACTTGTTGAAACACTTGTTGAAACACTTGTTGAAACACTTGTTGAAACACTTGTTGAAACACTTGTTGAAACACTTGTTGAAGCACTTGTTGAAACACTTGTTGAAACACTTGTTGAAGCACTGGTTGAAACACTTGTTGAAGCACTTGTTGAAACACTTGTTGAAGCACTTGTTGAAACACTTGTTGAAACACTTGTTGAAACACTTGTTGAAGCACTTGTTGAAGCACTTGTTGAAGCACTTGTTGAAGCACTTGTTGAAACACTTGTTGAAACACTTGTTGAAACACTTGTTGAAACACTTGTTGAAACACTTGTTGAAACACTTGTTGAAGCACTTGTTGAAACACTTGTTGAAGCACTTGTTGAAACACTTGTTGAAACACTTGTTGAAACACTTGTTGAAACACTTGTTGAAGCACTTGTTGAAACACTTGTTGAAGCACTTGTTGAAGCACTTGTTGAAACACTGGTTGAAACACTTGTTGAAGCACTTGTTGAAGCACTTGTTGAAACACTGGTTGAAACACTTGTTGAAGCACTTGTTGAAACACTTGTTGAAACACTTGTTGAAACATTCGTTGAAACACTTGTTGAAACACTTGTTGAAGCACTTGTTGAAACACTTGTTGAAACACTTGTTGAAGCACTTGTTGAAGCACTTGTTGAAACACTTGTTGTAGCACTTGTTGAAACACTTGTTGAAACACTTGTTGAAACACTTGTTGAAACACTTGTTGAAACACTTGTTGAAGCACTGGTTGAAGCACTTGTTGAAACACTTGTTGTAGCACTTGTTGAAACACTTGTTGAAACACTTGTTGAAGCACTTGTTGAAGCACTTGTTGAAACACTTGTTGAAGCACTTGTTGAAACACTTGTTGAAGCACTTGTTGAAGCACTTGTTGAAGCACTTGTTGAAACACTTGTTGAAACACTGGTTGAAACACTGGTTGAAACACTTGTTGAAACACTTGTTGAAACACTTGTTGAAGCACGTGTTGAAGCACTTGTTGAAACACTTGTTGAAGCACTTGTTGAAACACTTGTTGAAGCACTTGTTGAAGCACTTGTTGGAGCACTTGTTGAAACACTTGTTGAAACACTTGTTGAAACACTTGTTGAAACACTTGTTGAAACACTTGTTGAAACACTTGTTGAAACACTTGTTGAAACACTTGTTGAAACACTTGTTGAAACACTTGTTGAAGCACTTGTTGAAACACTTGTTGAAACACTTGTTGAAGCACTGGTTGAAACACTTGTTGAAGCACTTGTTGAAACACTTGTTGAAGCACTTGTTGAAACACTTGTTGAAACACTTGTTGAAACACTTGTTGAAGCACTTGTTGAAGCACTTGTTGAAGCACTTGTTGAAGCACTTGTTGAAACACTTGTTGAAACACTTGTTGAAACACTTGTTGAAACACTTGTTGAAACACTTGTTGAAACACTTGTTGAAGCACTTGTTGAAACACTTGTTGAAGCACTTGTTGAAACACTTGTTGAAACACTTGTTGAAACACTTGTTGAAACACTTGTTGAAGCACTTGTTGAAGCACTTGTTGAAGCACTTGTTGAAGCACTTGTTGAAACACTTGTTGAAACACTTGTTGAAGCACTTGTTGAAACACTTGTTGAAGCACTTGTTGAAACACTTGTTGAAACACTTGTTGAAGCACTTGTTGAAACAGTTGTTGAAGCACTTGTTGAAGCACTTGTTGAAGCACTTGTTGAAGCACTTGTTGAAACACTTGTTGAAACACTTGTTGAAACACTTGTTGAAGCACTTGTTGAAACACTTGTTGAAACACTTGTTGAAACACTTGTTGAAGCACTGGTTGAAACACTTGTTGAAGCACTTGTTGAAGCACTTGTTGAAGCACTTGTTGAAACACTTGTTGAAACACTTGTTGAAACACTTGTTGAAACACTTGTTGAAACACTTGTTGAAACACTTGTTGAAGCACTTGTTGAAACACTTGTTGAAACACTTGTTGAAACACTTGTTGAAACACTTGTTGAAACACTTGTTGAAGCACTTGTTGAAGCACTTGTTGAAACACTTGTTGAAGCACTTGTTGAAGCACTTGTTGAAACACTTGTTGAAACACTTGTTGAAGCACTTGTTGAAACACTTGTTGAAGCACTTGTTGAAACACTTGTTGAAACACTTGTTGAAGCACTTGTTGAAGCACTTGTTGAAGCACTGGTTGAAGCACTGGTTGAAACACTTGTTGAAGCACTGGTTGAAACACTTGTTGAAGCACTTGTTGAAACACTTGTTGAAGCACTTGTTGAAACACTTGTTGAAGCACTTGTTGAAACACTTGTTGAAACACTTGTTGAAGCACTTGTTGAAGCACTTGTTGAAGCACTTGTTGAAACACTTGTTGAAACACTTCCACAAACTCTTCATACGCCTTGTTACAATCACTCTCCAAATAAATATTGCTCCATTCATGAGTAGCTCATTTTTAAGTGCTTCAACTGTTTTCTCAGTTAAACTTTATTTCTTAGGTGGTCATTATCATACAGTACAAAGACAGGAAGGTGGTCGCTAATGTCCTTTATCAGAAGTCCACTGATTGTTTTACATTCTATATTGTCTATGACTGTTGCACTGTGGGTTGTGATTCTGCTTGGTTTAGTGATCAATGGAAACAGTCCTAAGCTAAATAAAGTGTTTATAAAGTCGTCAGTTTTTTTATGTTTGTTTTGGTTTATTAAGTCCGTATTGAAATCCCCCCCCACAAACAGACTTTTGACTGGAGCTGGAGAAATGCTCCTCCATCCAGTTAGAAAAGGAATATAAGTCTGAGCCAGGTGCTCTGTAAATACAACTAACAAGAATATTTTTATTTTTTTTACTTTTGATTTCAACCGTAAGACACTCTAAAATATCATCCACTGCCATTGTCTTATTTTCAATCACTTTATAGTTCAAATGTAAGTTAATGAACATAGCCACGCCCCCACCTGCTGCTTTAGTTCTTACTGATGAAATCAAACCGCTCTGTGTGTCATTCTGTTTCCCTGTCCTTGTGAATCCATGTTTCAGTCACTGAAATGATTGTGAATGGTTTTGTAAAGTGACTTAAACACAGTTTGATGTGATTGAAGTTAGCAGAGACTTCTATTGAAATGGAGGATGGAGAATGCGTTATTGTTGATTTGTTGAAGCGATGTTCAGCGTAATACTGACAGTTGTTGTTGGGTTCTGTAAAAAAGTTTGTGTCCGGGTCGATGTCTGTTTCAGTGTTTTGTGTTGTATTGGGAGAAAGTGTAATCCAAGTCTAAAGTTTCAATGATTGTCCTGAGTGAATGATCCAAGAGTGTCCTGTCGTGTGTGATGTGTGATTATACCGAGGTTGTGCTGAAAGTCCCGTTTATCTGCCTTGGTTTGGTGTGCTGCTGGTCTTATAGTCCAGACTCCAGTCCTGCTGGTCTTATAGTCCAGACTCCAGTCCTGCTGGTCTTATAGTCCAGACTCCAGTCCTGCTGGTCTTATAGTCCAGACTCCAGTCCTGCTGGTCTTATAGTCCAGACTCCAGTCCTGGTGGTCTTATAGTCCAGACTCCAGTCCTGGTGGTCTTATAGTCCAGACTCCAGTCCTGGTGGTCTTATAGTCCAGACTCCAGTCCTGGTGGTCTTATAGTCCAGACTCCAGTCCTGCTGGTCTTATAGTCCAGACTCCAGTCCTGCTGGTCTTATAGTCCAGACTCCAGTCCTGGTGGTCTTATAGTCCAGACTCCAGTCCTGCTGGTCTTATAGTCCAGACTCCAGTCCTGGTGGTCTTATAGTCCAGACTCCAGTCCTGGTGGTCTTATAGTCCAGACTCCAGTCCTGGTGGTCTTATAGTCCAGACTCCAGTCCTGGTGGTCTTATAGTCCAGACTCCAGTCCTGGTGGTCTTATAGTCCAGACTCCAGTCCTGGTGGTCTTATAGTCCAGACTCCAGTCCTGGTGGTCTTATAGTCCAGACTCCAGTCCTGGTGGTCTTATAGTCCAGACTCCAGTCCTGGTGGTCTTATAGTCCAGACTCCAGTCCTGGTGGTCTTATAGTCCAGACTCCAGTCCTGGTGGTCTTATAGTCCAGACTCCAGTCCTGGTGGTCTTATAGTCCAGACTCCAGTCCTGGTGGTCTTATAGTCCAGACTCCAGTCCTGGTGGTGCGCGGGTGAACTATCAGTTTGTCGTATCTTAAAAATGCTATCTCCCCCGTTCCCTCGCGGCTCGCAACTCCGGCATCAGCTTTTTTCTTTTCCTCTTAACTGCGTCTGTAGAGTCCTCGTTGATGTATATGTTTGTTCCTTTAAGTTGTTTCGCGCGGTGTAGGATAGTGTCCCGGTCCTTCCAGCAAAGTAGCTTCGCCACAATGGGTCGACTATAAGAGCAGGTCTGGACTATAAGAGCAGGTCTGGACTATAAGAGCAGGTCTGGACTATAAGAGCAGGTCTGGACTATAAGAGCAGGTCTGGACTATAAGAGCAGGTCTGGACTATAGATTCAGATTCAGTTTATTTGCCATTTGCAGTAAAACCACATTGGAATACATTAGTAAAAGTTCCCAGTGTGCACAGACAAATACAGACATAAAACAACATTAAAAGACAAAAATAAAACAAATAAAACAGTAAACAAAAGTCACTGTGAAATCGATCGACTAAAACAGTTTCAAAACAAGTGCAAATCGTTAAAGTGCTCTGTTCACACTGATAACAGCCTGTGGATAAAAACTGTTAGCGTAACGAGATGTCCTGCATCTCAGAGAGCGATATCTTCTGCCAGAGGGAAGAAGCTGGAACATGGCTTTCCCAGGGTGGCCAGAAGAGTCATTAACAATCCTAAGAGCTTTGTTTAAAAGTGTGGATTTATAAAGAACCTCCAGAACAGGAAGCTCACAGCCCACGGTCCTCTTTGCAGAGCGGAGCACCTTGTTTAAAGCTCTCTTTTCTTTATCTGTGATGTTTCCAAACCACACAGACACAGAACCAACAAGTAAACTCTCAATGGTGCAGCCATAAAAGTTAAGCACAATCTTAGAGTTAGTGGTAAATTATCTAAGTTTACGCAGAAAGTAGAGACGCTGACGAGCTTTCTTAACGACTCGGTCAGTGTTTTTAACCCATTTCAGGTTAGACAGAGTTAAACCCAGAAACTTGCTCCTCTACGATCTGCACCTGGGAGTTGTCGATTACGACAGGCAAATGAGAACTATTGCGACTGAAGTCGTGACCAGTTCACATGTTTTGGATGCGTTCAACTGGAGGTTGTTAGTTTGACTCCACTGAACCACATTTTGTATCTCTGCTCTATAAGAGGATTCATCAGTGTCACTGATGAGACCGATGATGGTGGTGTCATCAGCATATTTAATGATCAAGTTAGAGTCAGAGGAGGACACACAATCGTGAGTGTACAAAGTAAAAAGCAAAGGACTCAAAATACAATATTAATTATAATAAGATGTCTGACTATAAGAGCAGGTCTGGACTATAAGAGCAGCAGGTCTGGACTAAAGCAGAGAAAGTGAAACTCACTGAAGAACGTTGAAACAAAAACAGTTTTAGTTAAATATAAATCTTTATTAAATTTAATTAAACACCAGAATAAGTGCTGCAGACGTAGGTTCACAGGTACGGTAACGGCAGACGTAAGATTACAGGTACGAGCTCCACTTCAGAGGGAAACGAGTCTGTATTTGTGCTTCATCAAAGACACAGAGCAGACTCTGGTCCCTGTGAGCCACACAGAGCAGACTCTGGTCCCTGTGAGCCACACAGAGCAGACTCTGGTCCCTGTGAGCCACACAGAGCAGACTCTGGTCCCTGTGAGCCACACAGAGCAGACTCTGGTCCCTGTGAGCCACACAGAGCAGACTCTGGTCCCTGTGAGCCACACAGAGCAGACTCTGGTCCCTGTGAGCCACACAGAGCAGACTCTGGTCCCTGTGAGCCACACAGAGCAGACTCTGGTCCCTGTGAGCCACACAGAGCAGACTCTGGTCCCTGTGAGCCACACAGAGCAGACTCTGGTCCCTGTGAGCCTCACTTCTGAGCTGCTTTGAGTCTGTCGCTGACGTTCTCCCAGTTGATGACGTTCCAAATGGCCTTGACATAATCTGGACGCACGTTTTTGTACTGAAGGTAGTAGGCGTGTTCCCACACATCGATGCCCAGCAGAGGGACCAGGCCTGGAGCACAGGGACAGGGGAGCACAGGGACGAGAGCAGAGGTCAGTGTGGAGGCATAAACCCAAACGGACAAAAAATATATTTAAGTTTAGACTTTTAAAGCACATGGATCGTGGCCTCCACATGTGGCCAGCAGAGGGAGCCATTGAGCCCTAACGGCAGAAAGGCAGTGATTAATGTTAACAATCATATACTGCACCTGATTTAGATTATTATAATAAAAATAATAATTTAGATGCTTTTATTTCATTATAGTAAAAACTAGGTCACTGTGGGCACACGTGATTATTCAGAAAACTCCTTTAGAGGAACAGAAACCATGGGGAAAGGCAAAGTATGAGCACCATAGAAATGATAAACCAGACTAAACCAGACTAAACCAGACTAAACCAGACTAAACCAGACAAGGCTAAACGTAGCTGGGACTATTGTTTTGAACAAATGTGTCCATTATAACATTTTCATGAGACATTCTGCCATGAACCTCCTGCACATGTCGAGGTTTCACTGTTTTCATATGTAGTAGTAATATTTATTTATATAGACCTTTCAGACCAGAGTCACACAGACCTTTATAATTGTTACAATAGTCTCTGACTCTCTCTCCCCCACAGTCCCCATAGTCTCTCTGCCCCACAGTCCCCATAGTCTCTCTGCCCCACAGTCCCCATAGTCTCTCTGCCCCACAGTCCCCATAGTCTCTCTGCCCCACAGTCCCTCCTCCACAGTCCCCATAGTCTCTCTCCCCCACAGTCCCCATAGTCTCTCTCCCCCACAGTCCCCATAGTCTCTCTCCCCCACAGTCCCCATAGTCTCTCTGCCCCACAGTCCCCATAGTCTCTCTCCCCCACAGTCCCCATAGTCTCTCTCCCCCACAGTCCCCATAGTCTCTCTCCCCCACAGTCCCCATAGTCTCTCTCCCCCACAGTCCCCATAGTCTTACCGGTGGTGGCCTGCAGGGGGTCCTGGTTGGCACACGCAGCGATGCGCAGCCTCCCGCTCTCCGTGTCGTAGCCGAGCCAGCCCCAGCCGGAGCCCTGCACGGCCACAGTGGCTGCAGACATGCGCTGCTGCAGGTTCTGGAACGACCCGAAGTCTCTCTGGATCGCATCCTTCAGCGCCCCTGCCCCAGGACCAAGAACAACCGTCACACATAAAGTCACACGTGGCGTCACACGTGGCGTCACACGTGGCGTCACACGTGGAGTCACACGTGGCGTCACACGTGGAGTCACACGTGGCGTCACACGTGGGGTCACACGTGGCGTCACACGTGGGGTCACACGTGGCGTCACACGTGGGGTCACACGTGGCGTCACACGTGGAGTCACACGTGGGGTCACACGTGGAGTCACACGTGGAGTCACACGTGGGGTCACACGTGGAGTCACACGTGGAGTCACACGTGGCGTCACACGTGGGGTCACACGTGGAGTCACACGTGGGGTCACACGTGGCGTCACACGTGGCGTCACACGTGGAGTCACACGTGGAGTCACACGTGGCGTCACACGTGGAGTCACACGTGGAGTCACACGTGGGGTCACACGTGGCGTCACACGTGGAGTCACACGTGGAGTCACACGTGGAGTCACACGTGGGGTCACACGTGGCGTCACACGTGGGGTCACACGTGGCGTCACACGTGGAGTCACACGTGGGGTCACACGTGGAGTCACACGTGGAGTCACACGTGGGGTCACACGTGGAGTCACACGTGGAGTCACACGTGGGTCACACGTGGAGTCACACGTGGTCACACGTGGGTCACACGTGGGTCACACGTGGCGTCACACGTGGAGTCACACGTGGAGTCACACGTGGGGTCACACGTGGAGTCACACGTGGAGTCACACGTGGGGTCACACGTGGAGTCACACGTGGAGTCACACGTGGCGTCACACGTGGGGTCACACGTGGAGTCACACGTGGGGTCACACGTGGCGTCACACGTGGCGTCACACGTGGGGTCACACGTGGAGTCACACGTGGGGTCACACGTGGAGTCACACGTGGAGTCACACGTGGATGGTACAGCGCTGAAGGCCTAGAGTCTCTTCACGTCATTCTCTCTCCAAACACGGTGGTGATAAACTACTATTGTAGCCACAGCTGCCCTGGGGCAGACTGAAGAAGAAGCCCCTCCCACCACCACCAACCATTCACCTTTCTCCGCCGTTCAAACTCATGTGACATCACTTTTTCAAAGTGGCTGCAAGGAAAATGCGTGCGTCAGCCCTATTCATTTAACAAGTGACTTCTAAAGTCCACAGCGACTGAACTAGCCTGGTCGTACCACACCTTAGTACAAATTTCATTTCATACTAAGGTCTGTATTTCCTCCATTGAGCTCCGTGAACAGGTGGGAGGGGCTAACTCCTTTTGCAGATTGAAACGATTGGATCCGAGTTTACCGTGACGTATGTAATGCGCCCGTGACGAGTGTATTGTTAGCATTTAGCATTTAGCCTAGCTTTAGCCATCTCCGTTGCTGCCAACGGAGCCCGTGGAGAGTAGTGCCACAATCTTGACCAGCGATTACATTTGCTAAACATTCCTCTTGCTTCAATTTCTTGATAGAACCAGACCGGATTACTTTACTATCGCATTCTTCGGCATTGCCAAACTACAACCTGCCCGTTCGGCGCAAACTCTTGACGTCACCGGCACCGACCTACAACACCCGCCTTCCGCGCTCTCTGAGTAGCCGGTCGAAATACGACCGATTGTAATCGCTAACACAGGGACCAGACCCAGACGCTACATGCAGTGAAATGATAAGACCAGGCTACGACTGAACTAGACTGGTCCAAACACACTCCCCTCCGACAGCATCTGGGACCAAGAATCCTGTAAACCCGTATTTGAGAAGTCAGAAGATACATACATTAGCATTGAATAATTCTTCTCCAGGTCCGCCCCCACAGGCCTAGGGTGGTACTGCAGCACGTAATTTTGAACATTTTTGAGCCGGGACCCGCCCACCCGCTGAGTGTGAGTGTCAGAGCGCCACCTTGAGGCTCCCCTCCTCCGCTTGGGGACAGGTTGGTCCAGAAGATGCTGTGGTTGAGGTGCCCGCCACCGTTGAACTTGAGCGCAGGCTGCAGCGCCACCTGCAGGGACACGTCTCCTGTGGAACATGTTTATGTTTATAATCTACTCATAATCTGCTAATAATCTACTGTGTCTGAAGAACCAAGTGGACAAACCATTAATAAACTTGGAAGAAGATGTGCGAAAAGACCAGCCAGTGAGCGAGCAAGAGAACGAGAGAGAGACCAGAGAGAACAAGAGAGACCAGAGAGAACAAGAGAGTGCAGAGAGAGAGAGAGACCAGAGAGAACAAGAGCAGAGAGAGAGAGACCAGAGAGACCAGAGAGAACAAGAGAGTGCAGAGAGAGAGACCAGAGAGAACAAGAGAGAGCAAAGAGAGAGAGACCAGAGAGAACAAGAGAGAGCAAAGAGAGAGAGACCAGAGAGAACAAGAGAGCACAGAGAGAACAAGAGAGCAAAGAGAGAACAAGAGAGCAAAGAGAGAGAGACCAGAGAGAACAAGAGAGAGCAAAGAGAGAGAGACCAGAGAGAACAAGAGAGCAGAGAGCGAGAGACCAGAGAGAGCAGAGAGAGAGAGAGACCAGAGAGAGACCAGAGAGAGAGAGAGCAGAGAGAACAAGAGAGACCAGAGAGAGAGACCAGAGAGAACAAGAGAGCAAAGAGAACAAGAGAGACCAGAGAGAACAAGAGAGACCAGAGAGAACAAGAGAGTGCAGAGAGAGAGAGAGACCAGAGAGAACAAGAGCAGAGAGAGAGACCAGAGAGACCAGAGAGAACAAGAGAGCAAAGAGAACAAGAGAGACCAGAGAGAACAAGAGAGTGCAGAGAGAGAGAGAGAGCAGAGAGAGAGAGACCAGAGAGAGCAGAGAGCGAGAGACCAGAGAGAACAAGAGAGCAGAGAGAACAAGAGAGTGCAGAGAGAGAGAGAGACCAGAGAGAACAAGAGCAGAGAGAGAGAGACCAGAGAGACCAGAGAGAACAAGAGAGTGCAGAGAGAGAGACCAGAGAGAACAAGAGAGAGCAAAGAGAGAGAGACCAGAGAGAACAAGAGAGAGCAGAGAGCGAGAGACCAGAGAGAACAAGAGAGAGCAAAGAGAGAGAGACCAGAGAGAACAAGAGAGAGCAAAGAGAGAGAGACCAGAGAGAACAAGAGAGCAAAGAGAGAGAGACCAGAGAGAACAAGAGAGCAGAGAGCGAGAGACCAGAGAGAACAAGAGAGACCAGAGAGAACAAGAGAGAGCAAAGAGAGAGAGACCAGAGAGAACAAGAGAGAGCAGAGAGCGAGAGACCAGAGAGAACAAGAGAGAGCAAAGAGAGAGAGACCAGAGAGAACAAGAGAGCAAAGAGAGAGAGACCAGAGAGAACAAGAGAGCAAAGAGAGAGAGACCAGAGAGAACAAGAGAGCAAAGAGAGAGAGACCAGAGAGAACAAGAGAGCAAAGAGAGAGAGACCAGAGAGAACAAGAGAGCAGAGAGCGAGAGACCAGAGAGAACAAGAGAGCAGAGAGCGAGAGACCAGAGAGAACAAGATAGAGCAGAGAGAGACCAGAGAGAGCAGAGAGAGAGAGACCAGAGAGAGAGAGAGCAGAGAGAACAAGAGAGAGCAGAGAGAGAACAAGAGAGACCAGAGAGAGAGAGAGACCAGAGAGAACAAGAGAGAGCAGAAAGAGAGACCAGAGAGAACAAGAGAGAGCAGAAAGAGAGACCAGAGAGAACAAGAGAGAGCAGAAAGAGAGACCAGAGAGAACAAGAGAGAGCAGAAAGCGAGAGACCAGAGAGAACAAGAGAGAGCAGAGAGAGAGACCAGAGAGAAAATAATGAGACCAAAATTGATGTGTTGAAATGAAACTTTAGTTCAGTTTGTTTCATGTGGAATGTTCCAGGAGTTGGAGAAACTAGTTTCACAACAAAGAGACTAAAGGCGTGATGTCACATGCTCTCAGATTGATGTCACATGCTCTCAGATTGATGTCACATGCCCTCAGATTGATGTCACATGCCCTCAGATTGATGTCACATGCCCTCAGATTGATGTCACATGCCCTCAGATTGATGTCACATGCCCTCAGATTGATGTCACATGCCCTCAGATTGATGTCACATGCCCTCAGATTGATGTCACATGACCTCAGATTGATGTCACATGACCTCAGATTGATGTCACATGCCCTCAGATTGATGTCACATGCCCTCAGATTGATGTCACATGCCCTCAGATTGATGTCACATGACCTCAGATTGATGTCACATGACCCGGTTATGCCTCACCCTTGGCCAGGGCCTCCGTGTACTTCTCCTCGGTCACGTTAAGGTTACTGACGTATGTGGCGTGATGTTTACTGTGGTGCAGCTGCATGATCTCTGCACAGATGTGCGGCTCCAGGGCGCCGTAGTCATAACTGAGATCTGGGAGAGTGTGTTTCTGCCGGGCCACGCCCGCCGCACGCGCCACGCCCGCCACACCCAGGGAGAGACCCAGCCTTGCCGCACAGCTGCAAGAAACACACAACACTGACATCTGCTGGAAAAGGACGGACACAACTGCAGGGAAATATTTAGCTTTACGTCACTTAGAGAGTTGACGCAAAACTTCACCACAAGCACTTCCCAAGAATGTAGCTAGCAGGTTAGCATCTAGTTCAAGTGTAGCACTGTGAACATTGAACATTTAGAGTAGAAATAAATGGGAAATTCTTATTTTCTTTCACTTACTTATTCTGAGTTGTGGGATAATATAATGCAATCCATTTCCACTGGTACAGCCTTAAATAAAATGCTTCTATACAAAGATTATATTATATACAGTCTTACTCTAACGAGAAAACATGACTGATCTGATTGGTCCGAATTGACTTTCTGTGACAAACCTTTATGAAAAACTAAATTATGTCCCCAGTTTTAATGTAATACAGTTGTTTCTGAGTTAGTATGATGTCATCACATTTTTAATGCTATTCATAAACGCTGATGATTAAGTTACTCCCAAATGTTCACGTGTTTCATTCCTAGCAGCAGCAGGAGCCCTAACCCTAACCCGGGCCAGAGACGGCACGGCACGGCACCATGGGGCCAGAGACGGCACGGCACGGCCCCATGGGGCCAGAGACGGCACGGCACGGCACCATGGGGCCAGAGACGGCACGGCACGGCACCATGGGGCCAGAGACGGCACGGCACGGCACCATGGGGCCAGAGACGGCACGGCACGGCACCATGGGGCCAGAGACGGCACGGCACGGCACCATGGGGCCAGAGACGGCACCATGGGGCCAGAGACGGCACCATGGGGCCAGAGACGGCACGGCACGGCACCATGGGGCCAGAGACGGCACGGCACGGCACCATGGGGCCAGAGACGGCACGGCACGGCACCATGGGGCCAGAGACGGCACCATGTGGAAGATTTGGTTCACACACATTAGTTAAAGACTCATCTGGGTCTTGCTTTAAAGTCACTATTATTTAGCACAGTCCCTGTTTAAATATTGATTGAAGAACCACCCAGAAACGAACATGCACCAAACACATGCATCTGCCTAAAGATTTGCTCATTTATACTTATTTACACTAATTAAAGTCTATATTCATGTCGCTTTCTTTAACTGCGGAGGTTTCCAAACACAGAACACGTGTCTGACTGCGACACAAACTTTTCCATAACAGAGCAGCTAGCATCCAGGCTACATCACAACTGAGCTAACAGCAGCTAATGCAGGGATCAGAAAACATGCCCTGACAGCACGATTAAAGGCAGTGTCTGTGTTTTACCTGCGGATTGGCGCCGATCTGCACAACATGCTCATTCTGCCGCAGACACAGCAGGGTAAAGCGCTGCCCTTCAAATGTACGGACTGAACCACTGCAGAGAGAGGGGGGGGGACGCCAGTGACAGGCTCGGACTGAACCACTGCAGAGAGAGGGGGGGGGACAGTGACAGGCTCGGACTGAACCACTGCAGAGAGAGGGGGGGGGACAGTGACAGGCTCGGACTGAACCACTGCAGAGAGAGGGGGGGGACGCCAGTGACAGGCTCGGACTGAACCACTGCAGAGAGAGGGGGGGGTGACAGTGACAGGCTCGGACTGAACCACTGCAGAGAGAGGGGGGGGGACAGTGACAGGCTCGGACTGAACCACTGCAGAGAGAGGGGGGGTGACAGTGACAGGCTCGGACTGAACCACTGCAGAGAGAGGGGGGGGGACGCCAGTGACAGGCTCGGACTGAACCACTGCAGAGAGAGGGGGGGGTGACAGTGACAGGCTCGGACTGACTGAACCACTGCAGAGGGAGGGGGGACGCCAGTGACAGGCTCGGACTGAACCACTGCAGAGAGAGGGGGGGGGACGCCAGTAACAGGCTCGGACTGAACCACTGCAGAGAGAGGGGGGGGGGACGCCAGTGACAGGCTCGGACTGAACCACTGCAGAGAGAGGGGGGGTGACAGTGACAGGCTCGGACTGAACCACTGCAGAGAGAGGGGGGGGCAACAGTGACAGGCTCGGACTGAACCACTGCAGAGAGAGGGGGGGCAACAGTGACAGGCTCGGACTGAACCACTGCAGAGAGAGGGGGGGACGCCAGTGACAGGCTCGGACTGAACCACTGCAGAGAGAGGGGGGGCGACAGTGACAGGCTCGGACTGAACCACTGCAGAGAGAGGGGGGGCGACAGTGACAGGCTCGGACTGAACCACTGCAGAGAGAGGGGGGGTGACAGTGACAGGCTCGGACTGAACCACTGCAGAGAGAGGGGGGGGCGACAGTGACAGGCTCGGACTGAACCACTGCAGAGAGAGGGGGGGGCGACAGTGACAGGCTCGGACTGAACCACTGCAGAGAGAGGGGGGGGGCGACAGTGACAGGCTCGGACTGAACCACTGCAGAGAGAGGGGGGGTGACAGTGACAGGCTCGGACTGAACCACTGCAGAGAGAGGGGGGGTGACAGTGACAGGCTCGGACTGAACCACTGCAGAGAGAGGGGGGGTGACAGTGACAGGCCCGGACTGAACCACTGCAGAGAGAGGGGGGGTGACAGTGATAGGCCCGGACTGAACCACTGCAGAGAGAGGGGGGGGCGACAGTGATAGGCCCGGACTGAACCACTGCAGAGAGAGGGGGGGGCGACAGTGACAGGCTCGGACTGAACCACTGCAGAGAGAGGGGGGGGCGACAGTGACAGGCTCGGACTGAACCACTGCAGAGAGAGGGGGGGTGACAGTGATAGGCCCGGACTGAACCACTGCAGAGAGAGGGGGGGGCGACAGTGACAGACAGCGACTGCAGAGAGAGGGGGGGTGACAGTGACACCTCCCTGACTCAGCCAATCAGCTCTCAGAGAGGACCTCCCTGTCTCAGCCAATCAGCTCTCAGAGAGGACCTTCTGTCTCAGCCAATCAGCTCTCAGAGAGAACCTTCTGTCTCAGCCAATCAGCTCTCAGTCTGTAACATGTTTCTACAGACATCATGTTGTGGTCTTTTTGCCTCAAATGTCAGTTAAACAAACTCCTGGACGAACTGCATGTGTTTATGAAACAGAGTGAGGTGTCCAAACTTTAACTGCGTCTTTAACGTAGTCACGTGGGCACAGGGCGCCTCAAAGCAACGGAAAAGATCGTTAGTTGAACAGGAGCTCACGCAGAACAAAATAAAGACATCTATTTCGCGAGAAAGAGATAAGTATGTCATTCTATTATTATATTTACATGTTACATTCCCTGAAAGCAGCTGGACATGTCTCTGGTAACAGCATTAGTCTGTGTTGGTGTCAGTGTTAGTCAGTGTTAGTGAGAGAGAGGCTCAGAGGCAGAGTGAGACTCTGTCGCCTCCTGCTGCAGTCGCCATTGCTCCGCAGAAACAGAACCGTAATCAGTCCGTGACCCGCGTCTCTCTCCGCCGCCTCCGCCACCTCTGCCCGAACACGGAACTATCCACGTCCTTCGCTTCGGACCGAGCCGTCTGCAGTCCCCGGTAAGAGCCTCCTCCGTACACCGCTCTGTGCGGCCTGTGTCCGGGAAGAACACCAGGCACAAGGGAGGCGCTTCTGCACCGCCATTTTGTGGAAACAAGAAGCAGGACAGAACCAGGACAGGACCAGGACAGAACCAGGACAGGACCAGGACAGGACCAGGACAGAACCAGGACAGAACCAGGACAGAACCAGGACAGAACCAGGTCAGAACCAGGTCAGAACCAGGACAGAACCAGGACAGAACCAGGACAGAACCAGGTCAGAACCAGGACAGGACCAGGACAGGACCAGGACAGAACCAGGACAGAACCAGGACAGGACCAGGTCAGAACCAGGACAGGACCAGGACAGAACCAGGACAGAACCAGGACAGGACCAGGACAGAACCAGGACAGGACCAGGACAGAACCAGGACAGGACCAGGACAGGACCAGGTCAGAACCAGGACAGGACCAGGACAGGACCAGGACAGAACCAGGACAGAACCAGGACAGAACCAGGACAGAACCAGGACAGGACCAGGTCAGAACCAGCACAGAACCAGGACCAGGACAGGACCAGGACAGGACCAGGACAGAACCAGGACAGAACCAGGACAGAACCAGGACAGAACCAGGACAGAACCAGGACAGGACCAGGACAGGACCAGGACAGAACCAGGACAGAACCAGGACAGAACCAGGACAGGACCAGGACAGAACCAGGACAGAACCAGGACAGGACCAGGACAGAACCAGGACAGGACCAGGACAGGACCAGGACAGAACCAGGACAGAACCAGGACAGAACCAGGACAGAACCAGGACAGGACCAGGACAGAACCAGGACAGAACCAGGACAGAACCAGGACAGGACCAGGACAGGACCAGGACAGAACCAGGACAGGACCAGGACAGGACCAGGACAGGACCAGGACAGAACCAGGACAGAACCAGGACAGAACCAGGACAGAACCAGGTCAGAACCAGGACAGGACCAGGACAGGACCAGGACAGAACCAGGACAGAACCAGGACAGAACCAGGACAGAACCAGGACAGAACCAGGACAGAACCAGGACAGTACCAGGACAGAACCAGGACAGAACCAGGACAGGACCAGGACAGAACCAGGACAGAACCAGGACAGAACCAGGACAGAACCAGGACAGGACCAGGACAGAACCAGGACAGAACCAGGACAGGACCAGGTCAGAACCAGGACAGGACCAGGACAGGACCAGGACAGAACCAGGACAGAACCAGGACAGAACCAGGACAGAACCAGGACCAGGACAGGACCAGGACAGGACCAGGACAGAACCAGGACAGAACCAGGACAGGACCAGGACAGGACCAGGACAGAACCAGGACAGGACCAGGACAGGACCAGGTCAGAACAGACAGACAGACAGGACAGACAGAACCAGGACAGAACCAGGGAACCAGGACAGAACCAGGTCAGAACCAGGGACCAGGACAGGACAGAACCAGGCAGAACCAGACAGAACCAGGACAGAACCAGGACAGAACCAGGACAGAACCAGACAGGACCAGAACCAGGACAGACCAGGACAGAACCAGGACAGAACCAGGACAGAACCAGGACAGAACCAGGCAGAACCAGGACAGACGGACAGAACCAGGACAGAACCAGGACAGAACCAGGACAGAACCAGGACAGAACCAGGACAGGACCAGGACAGACCAGGACAGAACCAGGACGAACCAGGACAGAACCAGGACAGAACCAGGACAGAACCAGGACAGACCAGACCAGGACAGAACCAGGACAGAACCAGACCAGGACAGAACCAGGACAGAACCAGGACAGGACCAGGTCAGAACCAGCACAGAACCAGGACCAGGACAGGACCAGGACAGGACCAGGACAGAACCAGGACAGAACCAGGACAGAACCAGGACAGAACCAGGACAGGACCAGGACAGAACCAGGACAGAACCAGGACCAGGACAGGACCAGGACAGAACCAGGACAGAACCAGGACAGAACCAGGACAGGACCAGGTCAGAACCAGGACAGAACCAGGACAGAACCAGGACAGAACCAGGACAGAACCAGGACAGGACCAGGTCAGAACCAGGACAGAACCAGGACAGGACCAGGTCAGAACCAGGACAGGACCAGGACAGGACCAGGTCAGAACCAGGACAGAACCAGGACAGAACCAGGACAGAACCAGGACAGAACCAGGACAGGACCAGGACAGGACCAGGACAGGACCAGGACAGGACCAGGACAGGACCAGGACAGGACCAGGACAGGACCAGGACAGGACCAGGACAGGACCAGGACAGGACCAGGACAGGACCAGGACAGGACCAGGACAGGACCAGGACAGGACCAGGACAGGACCAGGACAGGACCAGGACAGGACCAGGACAGGACCAGGACAGGACCAGGACAGGACCAGGACAGGACAGGACCAGGACAGGACCAGGACAGGACCAGGACAGGACCAGGACAGGACCAGGACAGGACCAGGACAGGACCAGGACCAGGACCAGGACAGGACCAGGACAGGACCAGGACAGGACCAGGACAGAAGCAGGACAGGACCAGGACAGGACCAGGACAGGACCAGGACAGGACCAGGACAGAAGCAGGACAGAAGCAGGACAGGACCAGGACAGGACCAGGACAGGACCAGGACAGGACCAGGACAGAAGCAGGACAGGACCAGGACAGGACCAGGACAGGACCAGGACAGGACCAGGACAGGACCAGGACCAGGACCAGGACAGGACCAGGACAGGACCAGGACAGAACCAGGACAGAACCAGGACAGAACCAGGACAGGACCAGGACAGGACCAGGACAGGACCAGGACAGGACCAGGACAGGACCAGGACAGAACCAGGACAGAACCAGGACAGAACCAGGACAGAACCAGGACAGAACCAGGACAGAACCAGGACAGGACCAGGACAGGACCAGGACAGGACAGGACCAGGACAGGACCAGGACAGGACCAGGACCACAGAGCAGTCTGCTAATTAGCACATTAGCTCATTAGCTCACTGCTTGGTACAGTCCTGGTGTCAGGGTTGTTGCAGATATTGCGTTGTCTCAGACTCACGGGCTCAGCGCATTTACACCTCTGTTTACGGCAGAGCTGCATCTGAGCTGCATCTGAGCTGCATCTGAGCTGCATCTGAGCTGCATCTGAGCTGCATCTGAGCTGCATGTGAGCTGCATGTGAGCTGCATGTGAGCTGCATGTGAGCTGCATCAGAGCTGCATCAGAGCTGCATCAGAGCTCCATCTGAGCTGCATCTGAGCTGCATCTGAGCTGCATGTGAGCTGCATGTGAGCTGCATGTGAGCTCCATCTGAGCTGCATCTGAGCTGCATGTGAGCTGCATCTGAGCTGCATCTGAGCTCCATCTGAGCTGCATCTGAGCTGCATGTGAGCTCCATCAGAGCTGCATGTGAGCTCCATCTGAGCTGCATCTGAGCTGCATCAGAGCTCCATCTGAGCTGCATCTGAGCTGCATCTGAGCTGCATGTGAGCTCCATCAGAGCTCCATGTGAGCTCCATCAGAGCTCCATCTGAGCTGCATGTGAGCTGCATGTGAGCTCCATCTGAGCTGCATGTGAGCTCCATCTGAGCTGCATGTGAGCTCCATCAGAGCTGCATTTGAGCTCCATGTGAGCTGCATGTGAGCTCCATGTGAGCTCCATCTGAGCTGCTCCTGGGCTTTGTCCAACACTGAACATACATGTGCTGCAGTAACATGTGTCTGTCTTTCTCAGGCCATGACCAACGAGGAGCCGCTGCCCAAGAAGGTAACAAGAGTCCACAGTCTGCACCAAGTTACATGGAAACTTTCTTCATGAGCACTTTCTCTGTGTCCAGGTTCGCCTCAACGAGTCAGACATGAAGACGCTGACCAGAGAGGAACTATGTACCAGGTACAAGCACTGAAGCTGAGGCAGAGGCAGAGAGCTAATGTTTGTGTCTTCACAGGTGGAAACAACATGAGACGTACATCCAGGCGCTGGAGGCTAAATACACAGACCTCTGCTGTAAGTGTGTGCTCTCCTGTTTGTCTGTATGTGCTCTCTCCTGAATGTCTGAAAGTGTGTGCTCTCTCCTGTTTCCTGGACTTCAGCCAATGATGTCCCAGGTCTGAAGGAGTCTGAGGAGAAGCTGAAGCAGCAGCAGCAGGAGTCTGCGCGCCGCGAGAACATCCTGGTCATGAGGCTGGCCACCAAGGAGCAGGAGATGCAGGAGTGTACGGTACGTATCCTCAACCCTCACCCGTTCGCCACTGGCTTCACCCGTTCGCTACTGGCTTCACCCGTTCGCCACTGGCTTCACCCGTTCGCCACTGGCTTCACCCGTTCGCCACTGGCTTCACCCGTTCGCCACTGGCTTCACCCGTTCGCCACTGGCTTCACCCGTTCGCCACTGGCTTCACCCGTTGAGTTTGTGACTTTAGTTCTCATGAAAATAACATTTATTCTGATTTATTCTTTGTCCTAAAGCACAGTAGTTTCTCTGAGGACTTTACTAAACTGTCGATTCTCCAGCAGCAGATCAGAGAATCAGTCTAAATGCAGGAAATACAACAATAACAAAGACATTGGTCACGGACTCACCGACTCCTGGACTCAGAGTCCTGTTGTGAGGGTGTGCCTGAGGTCTAAGTTTTAAACAGTTGTTCTTGGACGTGGAGCAGACTCAGACTGAGACAGAAACAAAGAGGAAAACCCGTTTTTGTAGAATTCAATTCAACTTGAAGACCTGAGGGTTCCTTTACAAGAGTGAAGCCAGAGCCTAGACCTTTTCCTCTGTGTTTACTCTCTAGTTCTGATCCACATGTGCTTCCATCTGTGTTTGCTGCTCTCTAACGCCGTGTTTCTTCCTCAGACTCAGATCCAGTACCTCAAGCAAGTCCAGCAGCCCAGTGCGGCGCAGCTGCGCTCGGCCATGGTGGACCCTGCCATCAACTTAGTTTTCCTCAAAATGAAGACTGAACTGGAACAGACTAAAGACAAACTGGAGCAGGCCCAAAATGAACTGAGTGCCTGGAAATTTACACCTGATAGGTAAAGACGATAATAACCCATCCGCAGCAGCGTGGGCCACGCTCACTCAGAGACATGTAACGTACGGTGAGAGTATGGTCAGTATGTGTTTGAGCTCTCCCACGCCATCGCCAGCAGCGTTCTGAAGAGAGGACCGCCCCCCGCCCCGACACAGTGACGTTCACACAGGCAGGGGGGAGGGGGGGTAAACGTGAGGACAGTTCTAGGAGTAAAGCTAAGACTTCGGGGCAAAGACTCAGTAGAAACCTGTGGTCCACAGACTGTTCAGACGGCTCAGTCACGGTACTTGTTTTATTTTGTGACTTTCTTTTGATTGCTTTTCATTTGTTGCTCTTGTTCCTCTCATGGACACTTTCTGCAGTGTGTTAAACACCACCATTGGATACAGAGTTTGGAATGAGACTCAAAAGCTGGATATGTAAAACACACTGCTGCAGGTGTGGAGAGTTCTGTGTCACATGTTTCAGTTCATGTAAAATGATGTAAATCTCACACCAAACACTAGTCTCTCTCACACTTTCACTCTGGTCACTCAACACTGTCCACTTTGATCACCTTCTCCTGTAAACCAGGAGCTCCAGAGCATGTGCTTAGATGTGTTTATGTCTTTGTTCTGAAATGAAAGTTCATGTGAAACATCAGTCCTTTTCCAGATCAATGTGTGTGGAGCAGCTGTGATCTAGACATGATCTTCAATGTTTTCTTGGCCTGTCTTTAAGTCAAATTAAAAAACTAAGTACTTTTATATAGACGTATATTTGTCCAGAGTAGATTCTGAAAGTCCTAAGTATCAAGTACTGAACAGATGATGCTCCTGGACCTTGGTGCTGTGTCTGTGCTGAAATGTCATGTTTTCTAAGCTGTGGTCTGAGAGGAGCCGTGAGTGTGATGTGCTTCACCCTGTGATGTGAGCTTTATTTCCCTTGCAGCCAAACGGGGAAGAAGCTGATGGCCAAGTGTCGAATGTTGATCCAGGAGAACCAGGAGCTGGGGCGGCAGCTGTCCCAGGGGCGCATAGCCCAACTGGAGGCTGAGCTGGCTCTGCAGAAGAAGTACAGCGAGGAGCTGAAGAGCAGCCAGGACGGTGAGACTCTGTCCTCTCTGCTCTAAGAACCTCAGTCTGACTCTGCTTTGTGTCCTCAGAACTCAACGACTTCATCATCCAGCTAGACGAGGAGGTGGAGGGCATGCAGAGCACAATCCTGGTTCTGCAGCAGCAGCTGAAGGACAGTCGCCAGCTCCTGTCCCAGACCCAAGGCTCCGCTGGACCCAGTAGGACTTCACAGTGTGGCACCAAGGAGCCAGCTGCTCCGGAGCCCACCGCCCCCAACGAAGGCAAAGACTACAGGGTCTCCAACGGACCAAGTAATGGGAACTCTTCACAGAGGAGCGAGACCACCACCCCCAGCTTGTACCGAGAGGTGAGCAGCACCGAGGAAGACTTCCCCATGTCCCCCAATGTGTCCAGTCCTGGAGAGAGCAAACTGTCCAATCACTCAGAGGAGGCGGCTCAGACTGCATCACGAGCCCAGCTGGGCTACGAGAGCGTGGACTCTCCTACAGGCAGCGACACCTCTCTGACCCAACACTCCAACGACACAGACTCCACCACTGACCCCCACGAGGACAAACGCACCAGGCCCAGCCGGACTGCAGGCAGACACAACGGCCTGGACTCTGCCGCAGACTCTCTTTTGTAACTTCATCATGTACCTTTTTATACTGAGTCCACTGCTGTCCCACACATGTAGTTCCCCTGTGACGCCCGGGTTGTGTTGCTAAACAATGTTTTACATGGTTCTTGTTAGATTTGAATTGAGTGCAAGTACGTCTAGTGAAACTAGCTTACTCTGACTTATCTGCACCTGAGACATCTGTTGTAACTCGTCAATAAACAGTAACATTTTTTAATGATAGTTGGTTCAAATTCAAGGCCATTTTCAGAGATCGACCCGATATATTTTTGCCATTTTTATTTTCGATTAAGAAAAAAATGTTGGAAAAGATTGTGTTCAGTTCTATGCGTAGCTATATGCGATGTCCTTTATTATGACGTCTGTCCTACATGTTCTGACCAAATAAAGAATTTTACTACTACATGCACAGGCTTTGATTTGGAATACATTACAAAATACATTAGTCTTCAAGTCAATGAAATGTTTGATAAAAAAGTAAGAACACAGAATGCTCCATGCTCTAGTTTCTCCTGCCCCGTATAATAATTGACCTACAGTTACATTCTTCACAGGCACATTGCTCGTCTGTCCCTTTGTCATTGTATGTTTATTACGTTCATTTAACTTGAGTGGACGCTAGATGGCCGCCTGTTCACCTCTGCTGTACAAACACAAGATGGCCGCCTGTTCGCCTCTGCTGTACAAACACAAGATGGCCGCCTGTTCGTCCCAGTTCTCTGGCTTTCTCTAGAGTTTGAAGGCGGGTAGGGGCGTGTAGGTTCCGTCCTGCGCTGTCACTCCGCTTGTCTGGCTGTGGACACGACATTCGGGACATTACCCCCACACCAGCACCTGCTCACCCGCTGAACGACGCTTACCTCCCGGGCACCATGAGCTCCGAACGCGTGGTCATCGTTTCTGCCGCGCGCACTCCGATTGGTAAAGAAACACCACGTTTTAACTTAAAACATTTACGTGTAGTTATGTCACAAACACAACACCACATGTTTGTGTTTGTTTATTGAAATATTTATTCAAACATTCATTCAGACACATGCTTCACTCGTCTTGTCTATGTGGATTAGTAGAGACTAGGATGCCATGTCGTCCGGGGCTCTGATTGGCTGCTTTATTCACTTTGGCTCTGATTGGTTTAGATCATAGTGCGAGGAAGCATGCGAGGTCTTTGATTGGCCAGGAGGCGGAGCTTGTGGAAGAACCAGGAAGTGGCGTGAGGAGGATTTGACAGTTGTAAATAGTGTAAACTGAAAATACCAGCTTTTAGATATTTTATAACCAACATACAGAGGTCTGTTAAACTATTGTTTTTGCTCGAGAGATGTCAAATTCTGCACTTTGAGCCTTAATTTCACCCCCTGAATATGCATGAAAAGTTGTAAAATTTTGCCCAAAAATCAGACCTGGCGAAAAATTTGATATTTTGGTGTTTATTTTTATGGGACTCAAAAAATGCCAGAACAGCGCCACCTACAACAGCCAATGGGAGTTTCAGAGGTCAAGTTTGTCGTAGAGCCATGAAATTCGGTACACATGTTCCTCAAGTCAAGATACGACCGAAATGTTATTATGGCTCCGCCCTCTGACAAACAGGAAGTCCATAAATCTCACTGCAAAATGGAAAAATGAACAGCAAAAGTTTTCATACATGTCGGTTGGAAAGCGACTCCTCCTCGGCCGTTTCACCGATTCGCCTCAAAATCACTCCACATTGTCTCAACACATGTACCTTCAAAATGACCTCAGGGATTTTTAATCAGTGAAACATTGTTTGAGCAGCGGAGCGGCAAAATGTGACCTTTTTTTCTGCCGTTTTTGACAACATACATTTTTTTCCCGTTTGCACAAACAAAGTCTGATTTGCACAAAACTTCAATCCATTGTTCAACTCCAGGGTTTAGGTCAGGTGAAAGTGAAACATTTGAAATTGGCCCATTAGCGCCCCCTACAGACTGAGGCAAAGTTTACATGGGGAGCCAAACCAGCTCTACTTATTATATTCATTACAATTTGACTAACGTTCTTCTATGGCTACGGGAACCAATCATCACACGGCGGTGCCACCTCCTTTGAGCGGTGCTGCGTGGTACGGTGTGGTGCGGCGTAGTGCGGGGCGTTGCGGCTTTAATTTACTATTGTGTTATTATTAATAATTAACCAGAGAGAGACCAGGGAGAGAGACCCCAGAGAGAGACCAGAGAGACCAGAGAGAGACCAGAGAGAGAGACCCCAGAGAGAGACCAGAGAGACCAGAGAGAGACCAGAGAGAGAGACCCCAGAGAGAGACCCCAGAGAGAGACCAGAGAGAGACCAGAGAGAGAGACCCCAGAGAGAGACCCCAGAGAGAGACCCCAGAGAGAGACCAGAGAGACCAGAGAGAGACCAGAGAGAGAGACCAGAGAGAGAGACCCAGAGAGAGACCAGAGAGAGACCAGAGAGAGAGACCAGAGAGAGAGAGACCCCAGAGAGAGACCAGAGAGAGAGACCAGAGAGAGACCAGAGAGAGAGACTCCAGAGCGAGAGACCAGAGAGAGAGACCCCAGAGAGAGAGACCAGAGAGAGAGACCAAAGAGTGAGACCAGAGTGAGACCAGAGTGAGACCAGAGTGAGACCAGAGTGAGACCAGAGGGAGACCAGAGTGAGACCAGAGTGAGACCAGAGGGAGACCAGAGGGAGACCAGAGGGAGACCAGAGAGAGACCAGAGAGAGACCAGAGAGAGACCAGAGAGAGACCAGAGAGAGACCAGAGAGAGAGACCCCAGAGAGAGACCCCAGAGATGGACCAAAGAGAGAGACCAGAGAGAGAGACCCCAGAGAGAGACCCCAGAGATAGACCAAAGAGAGAGACCAGAGAGAGACCAGAGAGAGACCCCAGAGAGAGACCCCAGAGAGAGACCCCAGAGAGAGAGACTCCAGAGCGAGAGACCCCAGAGAGAGAGACCAGAGAGAGAGACCCCAGAGAGAGAGACCAGAGAGAGAGACCAAAGAGTGAGACCAGAGTGAGACCAGAGTGAGACCAGAGTGAGACCAGAGGGAGACCAGAGGGAGACCAGAGGGAGACCAGAGGGAGACCAGAGGGAGACCAGAGGGAGACCAGAGAGAGACCAGAGAGAGACCAGAGAGAGACCAGAGAGAGACCAGAGAGAGACCAGAGAGAGACCAGAGAGAGACCAGAGAGAGACCAGAGAGAGAGACCCCAGAGAGAGAGGGGGAGACCAGAGAGAGAGACCCAGAGCGAGAGACCCCAGAGAGAGACCCCAGAGAGAGAGACCAGAGAGAGAGACCAGAGAGAGAGACCCCAGAGAGAGACCAGAGAGAGACCAGAGAGAGACCAGAGAGAGACCAGAGAGAGACCAGAGAGAGACCAGAGAGAGACCAGAGAGAGACCAGAGAGAGACCAGAGGGAGAGACCCCAGAGCGAGAGACTCCAGAGCGAGAGACCCCAGAGAGAGACCAGAGAGAGAGACCCCAGAGCGAGAGACCAGAGAGAGAGACCAAAGAGAGAGACCAGAGAGAGAGACCAGAGAGAGAGACCAAAGAGATAGACCAGAGAGAGACCCCAGAGAGAGACCAGAGAGAGAGACTCCAGAGCGAGAGACCCCAGAGAGAGACCAGAGAGAGAGACCCCAGAGAGAGAGACCCCAGAGAGAGAGACCAAAGAGAGAGACCAGAGAGAGAGACCAGAGAGAGAGACCAAAGAGTGAGACCAGAGTGAGACCAGAGGGAGACCAGAGGGAGACCAGAGAGAGACCAGAGAGAGACCAGAGAGAGACCAGAGAGAGACCAGAGAGAGACCAGAGAGAGACCAGAGAGAGACCAGAGAGAGACCAGAGAGAGACCAGAGAGAGAGACCCCAGAGAGAGAGGGGGAGACCAGAGAGAGAGACCAGAGAGGGAGACCAGAGGGAGACCAGAGAGAGACCAGAGAGAGAGACCCCAGAGAGAGAGGGGGAGACCAGAGAGAGAGACCAGAGAGAGAGACTAGAGAAAGAGACCCCAGAGAGAGAGACCAGAGAGAGAGACCAGAGAGAGACCAGAGAGAGACCAGAGAGAGATCAGAGAGAGAGACTAGAGAAAGAGACCAGAGAGAGAGACCAGAGAGAGAGACCAGAGAGAGACCAGAGAGAGACCAGAGAGAGACCAGAGAGAGACCAGAGAGACACCAGAGAGAGAGACCAGAGAGAGACCAGAGAGAGACCAGAGAGAGAGACTAGAGAAAGAGACCAGAGAGAGAGACCAGAGAGAGACCAGAGAGAGACCAGAGGGAGACCAGAGGGAGACCAGAGGGAGACCAGAGGGAGACCAGAGAGAGACCAGAGAGAGAGACCCCAGAGAGAGACCCCAGAGAGAGACCAGAGAGACCAGAGAGAGACCAGAGAGAGAGACCCCAGAGAGAGACCCCAGAGAGAGACCCCAGAGAGAGACCAGAGAGACCAGAGAGAGACCAGAGAGAGAGACCCCAGAGAGAGACCCCAGAGAGAGACCCCAGAGAGAGACCAGAGAGACCAGAGAGAGACCAGAGAGAGACCAGAGAGAGACCAGAGAGAGACCAGAGAGAGACCAGAGAGAGACCAGAGAGAGAGACCCCAGAGAGAGAGGGGGAGACCAGAGAGAGAGACCAGAGAGGGAGACCAGAGGGAGACCAGAGAGAGACCAGAGAGAGAGACCAGAGAGAGAGACCCCAGAGAGAGACCCCAGAGAGAGACCAGAGAGACCAGAGAGAGAGACCCCAGAGAGAGACCCCAGAGAGAAACCCCAGAGAGAGACCAGAGAGACCAGAGAGAGACCAGAGAGAGAGACCCCAGAGAGAGACCCCAGAGAGAGACCCCAGAGAGAGACCAGAGAGACCAGAGAGAGACCAGAGAGAGAGACCCCAGAGAGAGACCCCAGAGAGAGACCAGAGAGAGAGACCAGAGAGAGACCAGAGAGAGAGACTCCAGAGCGAGAGACCAGAGAGAGAGACCCCAGAGAGAGAGACCAGAGAGAGAGACCAAAGAGTGAGACCAGAGTGAGACCAGAGTGAGACCAGAGTGAGACCAGAGGGAGACCAGAGGGAGACCAGAGTGAGACCAGAGTGAGACCAGAGGGAGACCAGAGGGAGACCAGAGGGAGACCAGAGAGAGACCAGAGAGAGACCAGAGAGAGACCAGAGAGAGACCAGAGAGAGACCAGAGAGAGAGACCCCAGAGAGAGACCCCAGAGAGAGACCCCAGAGATAGACCAAAGAGAGAGACCCGAGAGAGAGACCCCAGAGAGAGACCCCAGAGATAGACCAAAGAGAGAGACCAGAGAGAGACCAGAGAGAGACCCCAGAGAGAGACCCCAGAGAGAGACCCAGAGAGAGAGACTCCAGAGCGAGAGACCCCAGAGAGAGACCAGAGAGAGAGACCCCAGAGAGAGAGACCAGAGAGAGAGACCAAAGAGTGAGACCAGAGTGAGACCAGAGTGAGACCAGAGGGAGACCAGAGGGAGACCAGAGGAGACCAGAGGGAGACCAGAGGGAGACCAGAGGGAGACCAGAGGAGACCAGAGAGAGACCAGAGAGAGACCAGAGAGAGAGAGAGAGACCAGAGAGAGACCAGAGAGAGACCAGAGAGAGAGACCCCAGAGAGAGAGGGGGAGACCAGAGAGAGAGACCCAGAGCGAGAGACCCCAGAGAGAGACCCCAGAGAGAGAGACCAGAGAGAGAGACCAGAGAGAGAGACCCCAGAGAGAGACCAGAGAGAGACCAGAGAGAGACCAGAGAGAGACCAGAGAGAGACCAGAGAGAGACCAGAGAGAGACCAGAGAGAGACCAGAGAGAGACCAGAGAGAGACCAGAGAGAGACCAGAGGGAGAGACCCCAGAGCGAGAGACTCCAGAGCGAGAGACCCCAGAGAGAGACCAGAGAGAGAGACCCCAGAGCGAGAGACCAGAGAGAGAGACCAAAGAGAGAGACCAGAGAGAGAGACCAGAGAGAGAGACCAAAGAGATAGACCAGAGAGAGAGACTCCAGAGCGAGAGACCCCAGAGAGAGACCAGAGAGAGAGACTCCAGAGCGAGAGACCCCAGAGAGAGACCAGAGAGAGAGACCCCAGAGAGAGAGACCCCAGAGAGAGAGACCAAAGAGAGAGACCAGAGAGAGAGACCAGAGAGAGAGACCAAAGAGTGAGACCAGAGTGAGACCAGAGGGAGACCAGAGGGAGACCAGAGAGAGACCAGAGAGAGACCAGAGAGAGACCAGAGAGAGACCAGAGAGAGACCAGAGAGAGACCAGAGAGAGACCAGAGAGAGACCAGAGAGAGAGACCCCAGAGAGAGAGGGGGAGACCAGAGAGAGAGACCAGAGAGGGAGACCAGAGGGAGACCAGAGAGAGACCAGAGAGAGAGACCCCAGAGAGAGAGGGGGAGACCAGAGAGAGAGACCAGAGAGAGAGACTAGAGAAGAGACCCCAGAGAGAGAGACCAGAGAGAGAGACCAGAGAGAGACCAGAGAGAGACCAGAGAGAGACCAGAGAGAGACAGAGAGAGACCAGAGAGAGAGACCAGAGAGAGAGACCAGAGAGAGACCAGAGAGAGACCAGAGAGAGACCAGAGAGAGAGACCAGAGAGAGACCAGAGAGAGACCAGAGAGAGACCAGAGAGAGACCAGAGAGAGACCAGAGAGAGAGACCAGAGAGAGACCAGAGAGAGACCAGAGAGAGACCAGAGAGAGACCAGAGAGAGACCAGAGAGAGACCAGAGGAGACCAGAGAGAGAGACCAGAGAGAGACCAGAGAGAGACCAGAGAGAGACCAGAGAGAGACCAGAGAGAGACCAGAGAGAGACCAGAGAGAGAGACCCCAGAGAGAGAGGGGGAGACCAGAGAGAGAGACCAGAGAGAGAGACTAGAGAAGAGACCAGAGGAGAGACCAGAGAGAGAGACCAGAGAGAGAGACCAGAGAGAGAAGAGAGAGAGAGAGACCAGAGAGAGAGACCAAGAGAGAGACCAAGAGACAGACAGAGAGAGACCAGAGAGAGACCAGAGAGAGAGACCAGAGAGAGACCAGAGAGAGACCAGAGAGAGACCAGAGAGAGAGTCCAGAGAGAGAGACCAGAGAGAGACCAGAGAGAGACCAGAGAGAGAGACCAGAGAGAGACCAGAGAGAGACCAGAGAGAGACCAGAGAGAGAGACCAGAGAGAGAGACCAGAGAGAGACCAGAGAGAGACCAGAGAGAGAGTCCAGAGAGAGAGACCAGAGAGAGACCAGAGAGAGACCAGAGAGAGAGACCAGAGAGAGAGACCAGAGAGAGACCAGAGAGAGACCAGAGAGAGACCAGAGAGAGACCAGAGAGAGACCAGAGAGAGACCAGAGAGAGACCAGAGAGAGAGTCCAGAGAGAGACCAGAGAGAGACCAGAGAGAGACCAGAGAGAGAGACCAGAGAGAGACCAGAGAGAGAGACCAGAGAGAGACCAGAGAGAGACCAGACGTCTGTGTTTCTTCTGCTGCCCTACAGACCCTCCGGCAAGCCAAGTGGAACACTCCGGACCTGCTCCCTCTGACTGAGGACGTTAGAGCCATGCATGCACATATTGAGGTATGTCGACCTGAATATGTGCAAACCCTAATAAGTGAGCCAACGTCTAAGCATTGGTCTAAACTGGCAGTTTTGACTCTTTGTGAGGTCATCATTTTCAATCGAAGAAGGGAAGGTGAGGTTTCAAAGATGCCACTGACAGCCTTTACCTTAAGAAGTAAGACTGGGATCCATTCTGACATTGCTCTGGGACTGTCCCAACTTGAGAAAAAGCTGTGTCAGCATTTTCAACGCATTGAAATTAAAGGGAAAAGAAGTGGGAAAGTGCCGGTTCTTTTGACTCCTGAAATGATTGCTTCGATGGAGGTGCTGGTGGAGAACAGAAGGGCCTGTTCCATCTCTGACCATAACCCATACTTCTTTTCCCGCCCGGGCGCAGACACCCACATCAGGGGATCAGACTCCCTACGCCAGGTAGCCAAAGAATGTGGTGCGGTGCATCCAGAGATGCTATCCTCAACCAAACTTAGAAAGCACATAGCTACTATGTCTACAGTTCTCAATATGAAAGAGAATGAGATGGACATACTTGCCAACTTCCTCGGCCATGACATTCGCATCCACAGGCAATATTACAGACTACCAGAGGGGACACTGGAGCTGGCCAAAATCAGCAAAGTGTTGATGGCCATGGAGCAGGGAAGAGTGACGGAATTCGAAGGAAAGAGCCTCGACCAGATACAAATTGAGCCTGAAGGTAATTCTTGATATTATTAAAATGTGTATGATTTTTTTCCCCTAAAGGCCACTTGTATTTTTATTTTCTGTGCGACAGGGAGAGCAGTAGAGATCCTCTCACAAACGGACGGGCTAAAAGAAACTTCAAGCGGAGAACCTTCAACCATTCATCCAGATGCACCCCATGGTAGTGGCAGTGCCCCTTCTGGTAAGTGTACCAGGTGGGGGATTACAGCCAGGCTGCTTGGTCCTAACCCTGGGAGTGTATATTGCTAATATATTTTTATTTCTCTCCCTAGAACGTGTAAGAAAGCCATGGTCTGCATCTGAGGTGAAGGCTGTGGAGAAGACCATGACACCTTTCATACAGACTGGAAAGGTCCCTGGGAAGTCTCACTGCCTGGCCTGGCCTGGCCTGGCCTGCATTAATGCCTCACCAGATGACCTTAGACATCGGACATGGAGTGGCATTAAATTCTATGTCAAAAATAGAATCACTGCAATTCGAAAACAAAATCTAAAATAAAATTCCTTTAAAATAGTTGTTTGGTTTCTATTGACTGTTTTGTATTACTTAAAGTAGTCCCAGTAAAAAAGATTATGTCTATGGGTCCCATTCTGAACGGCCCTGTCAAAGGGACCCACCAGGTAACGAAAACGTGTATGTGTGTACCTGTATGTGTGTGTGTGCGTGTGTGTCTGTGTGTGTGTCTGTGTGTGTGTCTGTGTGTGTCTGAGTGTGTGTCTGTGTGTGTGTGTGTGTGTCTGTGTGTGTGTGTGTGTGTGTGTGTGTCTGTGTGTCTGTGTGTGTGTGTGTCTGTGTGTGTGTGTGTGTGTGTGTGTGTCTGTGTGTCTGTCTGTGTGTGTGTGTGTGTGTGTGTGTGTGTGTGTGTCTGTGTGTGTGTCTGTGTGTGTGTGTGTGTGTGTGTGTGTGTGTGTGTGTGTGTGTGTGTGTGTGTGTGTGTGTGTGTGTGTGTGTGTGTGTGTGTGTGTGTGTGTGTGTGTGTGTGTAGGTCCGGTGGAGGTGACGCAGGATGAGTTTCCCCGTCATGGCAGTCATATTGACTCCGTGTCTAAACTCAGACCGTGTTTCATCAAAGATGGTTCTGGAACAGTCACCGCCGGCAACGCTTCAGGTCAGTCATGTGACACGTGTTTCAAACATGTCTCTGTGAACATAAACACACATGGTCTCTCTCTGGTCTCTCTGGTCTCTCTCTCTGGTCTCTCTCTGGTCTCTCTCTGGTCTCTCTCTCTGGTCTCTCTCTGGTCTCTCTCTGGTCTCTCTCTGGTCTCTCTCTGGTCTCTCTCTCTGGTCTCTCTCTGGTCTCTCTCTGGTCTCTCTCTCTGGTCTCTCTCTCTGGTCTCTCTCTCTGGTCTCTCTCTCTGGTCTCTCTCTCTGGTCTCTCTCTCTGGTCTCTCTCTGGTCTCTCTCTGGTCTCTCTCTCTCTGGTCTCTCTCTGGTCTCTCTCTCTGGTCTCTCTCTCTGGTCTCTCTCTCTGGTCTCTCTCTCTGGTCTCTCTCTCTGGTCTCTCTCTCTGGTCTCTCTCTCTGGTCTCTCTCTGGTCTCTCTCTCTGGTCTCTCTCTCTGGTCTCTCTCTCTGGTCTCTCTCTCTGGTCTCTCTCTCTGGTCTCTCTCTGGTCTCTCTTGGGTCTCTCTCTCTGGTCTCTCTCTGGTCTCTCTCTGGTCTCTCTCTGTGTCTCTGTGGTCTCTCTCTGGTCTCTCTCTCTGGTCTCTCTCTCTGGTCTCTCTCTGGTCTCTCTGGTCTCTCTCTGGTCTCTCTCTGGTCTCTCTCTGGTCTCTCTCTGGTCTCTCTCTTGGTCTCTCTCTCTGGTCTCTCTCTGGTCTCTCTCTGGTCTCTCTCTCTGGTCTCTCTCTGTGGTCTCTCTCTGGTCTCTCTCTGGTCTCTCTCTGGTCTCTCTCTCTGGTCTCTCTCTGGTCTCTCTCTGGTCTCTCTCTGGTCTCTCTCTGGTCTCTCTCTGGTCTCTCTCTGGTCTCTCCTGGTCTCTCCCTGGTCTCTCTCTCTGGTCTCTCTCTGGTCTCTCTCTGGTCTCTGGTCTCTCTCTGGTCTCTCTCTCTGGTCTCTCTCTCTGGTCTCTCTCTGGTCTCTCTCTGGTCTCTCTCTGGTCTCTCTCTGGTCTCTCTCTCTGGTCTCTCTCTGGTCTCTCTCGGTCTCTCTCTCTGGCCTCTCTCTGGTCTCTCTCTCTGGTCTCTCTCTGGTCTCTCTCTGGTCTCTCTCTGGTCTCTCTCTGGTCTCTCTCTCTGGTCTCTCTCTCTGGTCTCTCTCTGGTCTCTCTCTGGTCTCTCTCTCTGGTCTCTCTCTGGTCTCTCTCTCTGGTCTCTCCCTGGTCTCTCTCTGGTCTCTCTCTGGTCTCTCTCTGGTCTCTCTCTGGTCTCTGGTCTCTCTCTGGTCTCTCTCTCTGGTCTCTCTCTCTGGCTCTCTCTCTGGTCTCTCTCTGGTCTCTCTCTGGTCTCTCTCTCTGGTCTCTCTCTGGTCTCTCTCTCGGGTCTCTCTCTCTGGTCTCTCTCTGGTCTCTCTCTCTGGTCTCTCCCTGGTCTCTCTCTGGTCTCTCTCTCTGGTCTCTCCCTGGTCTCCTCTGGTCTCTCTGGTCTCTCTCTCTCTCTCTGGTCTCTCTCTCTGGTCTATCTCTAGTCTCTCTCTGGTCTCTCTCTGGTCTCTCTCTGGTCTCTCTCTGGTCTCTCTCTGGTCTCTCTCTGGTCTCTCGGTCTCTCTCTCTCTGGTCTCTCTCTGGTCTATCTCTAGTCTCTCTCTGGTCTCTCTCTGGTCTCTCTCTGGTCTCTCTCTGGTCTCTCTCTGGTCTCTCCCTGGTCTCTCTCTGGTCTCTCTCTGGTCTCTCTCTGGTCTCTCTCTCTGGTCTCTCTCTGGTCTCTCTCTGGTCTCTCCCTGGTCTCTCTCTGGTCTCTCTCTGGTCTCTGGTCTCAGGTATAAACGATGGTGCGGCTGCGGTCCTGCTGATGAGTGAGCAGGAGGCCCAGTGCCGGGACCTCAGGACTCTGGCTGAGGTCGTGTCCTGGGCTCAGGCTGGAGTGGACCCGGACGTCATGGGGACGGGACCCATCCCAGCGATAAGGAAGGCTGTAAGACACACACACATAGAGAGACAGACACACACAGAGACACACACATCCCAGCGATAAGGAAGGCTGTAAGACACACACACATAGAGAGACAGACACACACAGAGACACACACATCCCAGCGATAAGGAAGGCTGTAAGACACACACACATAGAGAGACAGACACACACAGAGACACACACATCCCAGCGATAAGGAAGGCTGTAAGACACACACACATAGAGAGACAGACACACACAGAGACACACACATCCCAGCGATAAGGAAGGCTGTAAGACACACACACATAGAGAGACAGACACACACAAGACACACACATCCCAGCGATAAGGAAGGCTGTAAGACACACAGACACACACACGCATGCGCACACACACACACACACACGCACGCACACACACACACCAGCACCCACACACACACACATAGAGAGACAGACACACACAGAGACACACACATCCCAGCGATAAGGAAGGCTGTAAGACACACACACATAGAGAGACAGACACACACAGAGACACACACATCCCAGCGATAAGGAAGGCTGTAAGACACACACACACAGGTACAGAAGGCCGGGTGGCAGATGTATGTATCACAGGTACAGAAGGCCGGGTGGCAGATGTGTGTTTATCACAGGTACAGAAGGCCGGGTGGCAGATGTGTGTGTATCACAGGTACAGAAGGCCGGGTGGCAGATGTATGTGTGTGTATCACAGGTACAGAAGGCCGGGTGGCAGATGTATGTGTATCACAGGTACAGAAGGCCGGGTGGCAGATGTGTGTGTATCACAGGTACAGAAGGCCGGGTGGCAGATGTATGTGTGTGTATCACAGGTACAGAAGGCCGGGTGGCGGATGTGTGTGTATCACAGGTACAGAAGGCCGGGTGGCGGATGTGTGTGTATCACAAGTACAGAAGGCCGGGTGGCAGATGTATGTGTGTGTATCACAGGTACAGAAGGCCGGGTGGCAGATGTATGTGTGTGTATCACAGGTACAGAAGGCCGGGTGGCAGATGTATGTGTGTGTATCACAGGTACAGAAGGCCGGGTGGCAGATGTGTGTATCACAGGTACAGAAGGCCGGGTGGCAGATGTGTGTTTATCACAGGTACAGAAGGCCGGGTGGCAGATGTGTGTGTATCACAGGTACAGAAGGCCGGGTGGCGGATGTGTGTGTATCACAGGTACAGAAGGCCGGGTGGCAGATGTATGTGTGTGTATCACAGGTACAGAAGGCCGGGTGGCAGATGTATGTGTGTGTATCACAGGTACAGAAGGCCGGGTGGCAGATGTATGTGTGTGTATCACAGGTACAGAAGGCCGGGTGGCAGATGTGTGTATCACAGGTACAGAAGGCCGGGTGGCAGATGTGTGTTTATCACAGGTACAGAAGGCCGGGTGGCAGATGTGTGTGTATCACAGGTACAGAAGGCCGGGTGGCGGATGTGTGTGTATCACAGGTACAGAAGGCCGGGTGGCAGATGTATGTGTGTGTATCACAGGTACAGAAGGCCGGGTGGCAGATGTATGTGTGTGTATCACAGGTACAGAAGGCCGGGTGGCAGATGTATGTGTGTGTATCACAGGTACAGAAGGCCGGGTGGCAGATGTATGTGTGTGTATCACAGGTACAGAAGGCCGGGTGGCAGATGTATGTGTATCACAGGTACAGAAGGCCGGGTGGCAGATGTGTATGTGTGTATCACAGGTACAGAAGGCCGGGTGGCAGATGTATGTGTGTGTATCACAGGTACAGAAGGCCGGGTGGCAGATGTGTGTGTGTATCACAGGTACAGAAGGCCGGGTGGCAGATGTATGTGTGTGTATCACAGGTACAGAAGGCCGGGTGGCAGATGGAGGAGGTGGATCTGTTTGAAGTGAACGAAGCCTTCGCTGCTCAGTCCATCGCTGTGGTCAAAGAACTGGGACTGGATCTGGACAAGGTGATGTCACATTACACACATCTTATTAACACAGAAAGATCCCTATGAGTCACTTTGGGCTGACAGCTGATGAGGGAGGTCCTCTGACAGCTGATTGGCTGATGAGGGAGGTCCTCTGACAGCTGATTGGCTGATGAGGGAGGTCCTCTGACAGCTGATTGGCTGATGAGGGAGGTCCTTTGACAGCTGATTGGCTGATGAGGGAGGTCCTCTGACAGCTGATTGGCTGATGAGGGAGGTCCTTTGACAGCTGATTGGCTGATGAGGGAGGTCCTCTGACAGCTGATTGGCTGATGAGGGAGGTCCTTTGACAGCTGATTGGCTGATGAGGGAGGTCCTCTGACAGCTGATTGGCTGATGAGGGAGGTCCTCTGACAGCTGATTGGCTGGAGGACCAGTGTTTATGAATGTGGAAACTGATTTTCTGATCTGTGTGGGAGAATCGACTGTAGTGATTTAGTGCGACTTGACCCAGAACCTGACTGTGTTGTTGTGGTCCTCAGGTGAACGTGAGCGGAGGGGCCATCGCCCTGGGGCACCCCATCGGGATGTCGGGGTGTCGGGTTCTGGTGACTCTGATCCACGGCCTCCTCAGGACGGGGGGGCGCAGGGGCGTGGCCTCGCTCTGTATCGGGGGCGGGATGGGCATCGCCGTGTGCGTCCAGACGCAGTAACCAGTTTATGAAGTTTACAACCAGGACGCAACGAGACTCCGGCTGCACCAAAACTGACCCGAGTTTGTGTTTAGTCTCATGCTCTCAGTAAAGACTTTTCCAACACAAATGTTTATATAATGAGGCTGTTAGCAAGAGTTAGCATGTGGTCTGTCTCCTCTCTCCCCTTAAGACAGGAATGTAGAAGTAAACTGGTTCAATGTTTAGTAAAACATTAAAATGATTACTTATAACAAGACCTAACACCATATTTTCTAAAAAGAATCCTTTTTTACTGCTGTCAGTAATGTCAAGTAAAATATATCTTTAATATAGAACAGACTTCAGCATCTCTAATCGGAACCTTCCACATCTCTACAAATACTTCAGTAAATAATCAAACCCAGTGGAACAATGATTTTGGGCAAATGTTGCTTTGATTGGATGGTCTTCAAACATTTGTCAGGCCTGAGTTTAAGGAAGAAATCCTCTAAAAACTGGTGGTGCAGCTTTAGAACTCTGGTTGCTCTGTTAAAGAAGCCATTTAGAGCAGGATCGATAAAACAGTCTGAGGACATTGTGTTTGTGAAGCATCTCTGTGGCTGTATATTAACACTAAACTGGATTTATTTATTAGGATCCAAGCCTTATTTAGACGTTAACTTAGATATAAGATACTTCTCATGTTGGGACCAAAGTCTTTATTTTCTTACTAACAACCTGCGCCATGTGAATAAATCGCTTACATCAATACAGTTGTGGTTCAGTCTTTTACAACAACCATCAGGCTTTAATTTATGTTCAAAGTCAAACATAGCAGTAACAAGTGCACTAACAATAATAATATACAGACAGGCTTTAGGACCTGGGGCAGCCTCATCCCTCTAACGAGCCGGAGCGTACGGCGTCCTGGTAGGAGCTGCCGCCCTCTTTAGGCTCAGGGAACAGCTTGATGAGGTCATCGATGCGGAGGATGGTGATGGCGGCTTCTGTGGCGAACTTCAGGCTCTTGGTCTTCACCATCGTGGGCTCGTAGACGCCGGCCTGTTTATTGTCCCGCGGTTTACCGTTGATCAGGTCCAGGCCAATCCTAGAGCAGCAGATGTTTGTATGAGAGCGGGAAATAAACTGTAAAATGTAGACAATATGAAAGAGTGGATCACACAGCCCCCGTGATCCAAGATGGCGTCCTGTTCTAATCAGAGGCTTGTGCTCAGTTGCGCCCTCCCATGGGGACCGACAGCTTAGAGGAACTCGCCCATATTTGGGCATCAGTCTGGTCCTCCCAGTTCTGTACAGACATAATCCTAAAGCCGCCACGGCGTCACACTCACGGCGTCACACTCACGGCGTCACACTCACGGCGTCACACTCACGGCGTCACACTCACGGCGTCACACTCACGGCGTCACACTCACGGCGTCACACTCACGGCGTCACACTCACGGCGTCACACTCACGGCGTCACACTCACGGCGTCACACTCACGGCGTCACACTCACGGCGTCACACTCACGGCGTCACACTCACGGCGTCACACTCACGGCGTCACACTCACCACTTGAGGTTCTTGCGTTCAGGATTGACCTGGGCCTCGTTGTGGAAGGCCCTGAGTTTGGCCACGAGATCCGTAGAATCTTGTGCCGCGTTCACCGCGAGAGTCTTCGGGATCACGAGGAGCGAGCGAGCAAACTCTGCGATGGCCAGCTGCTCCCTGGAGCCCTGAAAACACACAACTGTCAACACACACATACAGTTGGCCATTGCACAGCTCACTCCTTGTGTATTTGCGTTACCATGCTGGTGTGTGTGCGTGTAGTTGCGTTACCATGCTGGTGTGTGTGCGTGTAGTTGCGTTACCATGCTGGTGTGTGTGCGTGTAGTTGCGTTACCATGCTGGTGTGTGTGCGTGTAGTTGCGTTACCATGCTGGTGTGTGTGCGTGTCGTTGCGTTACCATGCTGGTGTGTGTGCGTGTCGTTGCGTTACCATGCTGGTGTGTGTGCGTGTCGTTGCGTTACCATGCTGGTGTGTGTGCGTGTAGTTGCGTTACCATGCTGGTGTGTGTGCGTGTAGTTGCGTTACCATGCTGGTCTGTGTGCGTGTAGTTGCGTTACCATGCTGGTCTGTGTGCGTGTAGTTGCGTTACCATGCTGGTCTGTGTGCGTGTAGTTGCGTTACCATGCTGGTCTGTGTGCGTGTAGTTGCGTTACCATGCTGGTCTGTGTGCGTGTAGTTGCGTTACCATGCTGGTCTGTGTGCGTGTAGTTGTATGCGTCTGTTGCGTTACCATGCTGGTCTGTGTGCGTGTAGTTGCGTTACCATGCTGGTGTGTGTGCGTGTAGTTGCGTTACCATGCTGGTGTGTGTGCGTGTAGTTGCGTTACCATGCTGGTGTGTGTGCGTGTAGTTGCGTTACCATGCTGGTGTGTGTGCGTGTAGTTGCGTTACCATGCTGGTGTGTGTGCGTGTAGTTGCGTTACCATGCTGGTGTGTGTGCGTGTAGTTGCGTTACCATGCTGGTGTGTGTGCGTGTAGTTGCGTTACCATGCTGGTGTGTGTGCGTGTAGTTGCGTTACCATGCTGGTGTGTGTGCGTGTAGTTGCGTTACCATGCTGGTGTGTGTGCGTGTAGTTGCGTTACCATGCTGGTGTGTGTGCGTGTAGTTGCGTTACCATGCTGGGTGTGTGCGCGCGTAGTTGCGTTACGCGTAGTTGCGTTACCATGCTGGTGTGTGCGCGCGTAGTTGCGTTATGTGTGCGCGCGTAGTTGCGTTACCATGCTGGTGTGTGTGTGTGTAGTTGTGTTACCATGCTGGTGTGTGTGTGTAGTTGTGTTACCATGCTGGTGTGTGTGTGTAGTTGTGTTACCATGCTGGTGTGTGTGTGTAGTTGTGTTACCATGCTGGTGTGTGTGTGTAGTTGTGTTACCATGCTGGTGTGTGTGTGTAGTTGTGTTACCATGCTGGTGTGTGTGTGTGTGTGTTACCATGCTGGTGTGTGTAGTTGTGTTACCATGCTGGTGTGTGTGTGTAGTTGTGTTACCATGCTGGTGTGTGTGTGTAGTTGTGTTACCATGCTGGTGTGTGGTGTAGTTGTGTTACCATGCTGGTGTGTGTGTAGTTGTGTTACCATGCTGGTGTGTGTGTAGTTGTGTTACCATGCTGGTGTGTGTGTGTAGTTGTGTTACCATGCTGGTGTGTGTGTGTAGTTGTGTTACCATGCTGGTGTGTGTGTGTAGTTGTGTTACCATGCTGGTGTGTGTGTGTAGTTGTGTTACCATGCTGTGTGTGTGTAGTTGTGTTACCATGCTGGTGTGTGTGTGTAGTTGTGTTACCATGCTGGTGTGTGTGTGTAGTTGTGTTACCATGCTGGTGTGTGTGTGTAGTTGTGTTACCATGCTGGTGTGTGTGTGTAGTTGTGTTACCATGCTGGTGTGTGTGTGTAGTTGTGTTACCATGCTGGTGTGTGTGTAGTTGTGTTACCATGCTGGTGTGTGTGTGTAGTTGTGTTACCATGCTGGTGTGTGTGTAGTTGTGTTACCATGCTGGTGTGTGTGTGTAGTTGTGTTACCATGCTGGTGGCGTAGTTCTCCAGGTAGATTGACAGCGCGGCCTCCACAGCGCCCCCTCCTGGAACCACAGACTTTGACTCCAGGACCCTCTTAACGACACAGAGGGCGTCGTGCACAGAGCGCTCCATCTCGTCACACATGAAGTCATTCGCTCCTCTCAGGACGATGGAGGCGGAGGAGCGCGCCTTGGTACTGAGGACCAGGAGGAGAGGAGGCTTTAGGACCAGGAAGAGAGGAGGCTTTAGGACCAGGAAGAGAGGAGGCTTTAGGACCAGGAAGAGAGGAGGCTTTAGGACCAGGAAGAGAGGAGGCTTTAGGACCAGGAAGAGAGGAGGCTTTAGGACCAGGAAGAGAGGAGGCTTTAGGACCAGGAAGAGAGGAGGCGTTAGGACCAGGAAGAGAGGAGGCGTTAGGACCAGGAAGAGAGGAGGCGTTAGGACCAGGAGGAGAGGAGGCTTTAGGACCAGAGAGAGGAGGCTTTAGGACCAAAGAGAGGAGGCTTTAGGACCAGAGAGAGAGGAGGCTTTAGGACCAGAGAGGAGAGGAGGGTTTAGGACCAGAGAGGAGAGGAGGCTTTAGGACCAGAGAGGAGAGGAGGCTTTAGGACCAGAGAGGAGGCTTTAGGACCAGAGAGAGGAGGCTTTAGGACCAGAGAGAGGAGGCTTTAGGACCAGAGAGAGGAGGCTTTAGGACCAGAGAGAGGAGGCTTTAGGACCAGAGAGAGGAGGCTTTAGGACCAGAGAGAGGAGGCTTTAGGACCAGAGAGAGGAGGCTTTAGGACAGAGAGAGGAGGCTTTAGGACCAGAGAGAGGAGGCTTTAGGACCAGAGAGAGGAGGGTTAGACCAGAGAGGAGGCTTTAGGACCAGGAGGAGAGGAGGCTTTAGGACCAGGAGGAGAGGAGGCTTTAGGACCAGGAGAGAGGAGGCTTTAGGACCAGAGAGAGGAGGCTTTAGGACCAGAGAGAGGAGGGTTAGGACCAGAGAGAGGAGGCTTTAGGACCAGGAGGAGAGGAGGCTTTAGGACCAGAGAGAGGAGGCTTTAGGACCAGAGAGAGGAGGCTTTAGGACCAGAGAGAGGAGGCTTTAGGACCAGAGAGAGGAGGCTTTAGGACCAGAGAGAGAGCAACAAGAGAAACTAACAAAAATCAACAAACTTCAAGGTATTATTTAGCATATCTTTTGTCCTTTTTGTTTGCAAAGAACTTAGTTCAGTGTCTGTAATGAAGACTAATCATTAGTGAGGGCTCATGCAGCCCTGGGGGGTGTGCGTTCGTGCAGCCCTGGGGGGTGTGCGTTCGTGCAGCCCTGGGGGGTGTGCGTTCGTGCAGCCCTGGGGGGTGTGCGTTCGTGCTCCTTACTTCTTGATGAGGATGAGTTCATCGTCACACACTCGTTCCTGTACGACTTCCTCAGCCTGTCCCAACATCGTGACCTCAAAGGTCTCCTCTCCCTCCAGGTTACTGAGCGACGGACACATGGTGGCTGCACACACACAAACACACATTACACACCTGCTCTCCCCCCCCCCCCCCTCACCTCCTGTTTCCTTGGCAATCCTCTCCCCCCCCTCACCTGTTGCCTTGGCAATCCTCTTCCCCCCCTCACCTCCTGTTGCCTTGGCTATCCTCTTCCCCCCCTCACCTCCTGTTGCCTTGGCTATCCTCTTCCCCCCCCCCCCCTCACCTCCTGTTGCCTTGGCAATCCTCTTCCCCCCCTCACCTCCTGTTGCCTTGGCAATCCTCTTCCCCCCCTCACCTCCTGTTGCCTTGGCTATCCTCTTCCCCCCCCCCCCTCACCTCCTGTTGCCTTGGCTATCCTCTTCCCCCCCCCCCCCCCCTCACCTCCTGTTGCCTTGGCTATCCTCTTCCCCCCCTCACCTCCTGTTGCCTTGGCTATCCTCTTCCCCCCCCCCTCCCCCCCCTCACCTCCTGTTGCCTTGGCTATCCTCTTCCCCCCCCTCACCTCCTGTTGCCTTGCCTATCCTCCTCCCCCCCCTCACCTCCTGTTGCCTTGGCTATCCTCTTCCCCCCCCCACCTCCTGTTGCCTTGGCTATCCTTTCCCCCCCCCTCACTTCCTGTTGCCTTGCCTATCCTCTTCCCCCCCTCACCTCCTGTTGCCTTGGCTATCCTCTCTTCCCCCCCTCACCTCCTGTTGCCTTGGCTATCCTCTTCCCCCCCCTCACCTCCTGTTGCCTTGGCTATCCTCTTCCCCCCCCCTCACCTCCTGTTGCCTTGGCTATCCTCTTCCCCCCCCCCTCACCTCCTGTTGCCTTGGCTATCCTCTTCCCCCTCCCCTCCCCCCCCTCACCTCCTGTTGCCTTGGCTATCCTCTTCCCCCCCCTCACCTCCTGTTGCCTTGGCTATCCTCTTCCCCCCCCCCCCCCCTCACCTCCTGTTGCCTTGGCAATCCTCTCCCCCCCCTCACCTCCTGTTGCCTTGGCTATCCTCCTCCCCCCCCCCTCACCTCCTGTTGCCTTGGCAATCCTCTTCCCCCCCCCTCACCTCCTGTTGCCTTGGCTATCCTCTCCCCCCCTCACCTCCTGTTGCCTTGGCAATCCTCTTCCCCCCCCCTCACCTCCTGTTGCCTTGGCAATCCTCTTCCCCCCCCCCCCCTCACCTCCTGTTGCCTTGGCTATCCTCTTCCCCCTCCCCTCCCCCCCCTCACCTCCTGTTGCCTTGGCTATCCTCTTCCCCCCCTCACCTCCTGTTGCCTTGGCTATCCTCTTCCCCCCCTCACCTCCTGTTGCCTTGGCTATCCTCTTCCCCCCCTCACCTCCTGTTGCCTTGGCTATCCTCTTCCCCCCCTCACCTCCTGTTGCCTTGGCTATCCTCTTCCCCCCCTCACCTCCTGTTGCCTTGGCTATCCTCTTCCCCCCCCCCCTCACCTCCTGTTGCCTTGGCTATCCTCTTCCCCCCTCACCTCCTGTTGCCTTGGCTATCCTCTTCCCCCCCCCCCTCCCCCCCCTCACCTCCTGTTGCCTTGGCTATCCTCTTCCCCCCCCTCACCTCCTGTTGCCTTGCCTATCCTCCTCCCCCCCCTCACCTCCTGTTGCCTTGGCTATCTTCCCCCCCTCACCTCCTGTTGCCTTGGCTATCCTTTCCCCCCCCCTCACTTCCTGTTGCCTTGCCTATCCTCTTCCCCCCCTCACCTCCTGTTGCCTTGGCTATCCTCTCTTCCCCCCCTCACCTCCTGTTGCCTTGGCTATCCTCTTCCCCCCCTCACCTCCTGTTGCCTTGCCTATCCTCTCTTCCCCCCCTCACCTCCTGTTGCCTTGGCTATCCTCTTCCCCCCCCCTCACCTCCTGTTGCCTTGGCTATCCCCCCCCCCCCCCCCCCCCCTCACCTCCTGTTGCCTTGGCTATCCTCTTCCCCCCCCTCACCTCCTGTTGCCTTGGCTATCCTCTTCCCCCCCCTCACCTCCTGTTGCCTTGGCTATCCTCTTCCCCCCCCTCACCTCCTGTTGCCTTGGCTATCCTCTTCCCCCCCCTCACCTCCTGTTGCCTTGGCTATCCTCTTCCCCCCCTCACCTCCTGTTGCCTTGGCTATCCTCTTCCCCCCCCTCACCTCCTGTTGCCTTGGCTATCCTCTTCCCCCCCCTCACCTCCTGTTGCCTTGGCTATCCTCTTCCCCCCCTCACCTCCTGTTGCCTTGGCTATCCTCTTCCCCCCCCTCACCTCCTGTTGCCTTGGCTATCCTCTTCCCCCCCCCTCACCTCCTGTTGCCTTGGCTATCCTCTTCCCCCCTCACCTCCTGTTGCCTTGGCTATCCTTTTCCCCCCCCTCACCTCCTGTTGCCTTGGCTATCCTCTTCCCCCCCCTCACCTCCTGTTGCCTTGGCTATCCTCTTCCCCCCCCCTCACCTCCTGTTGCCTTGGCTATCCTCTTCCCCCCCTCACCTCCTGTTGCCTTGGCTATCCTTTTCCCCCCCCTCACCTCCTGTTGCCTTGGCTATCCTCTTCCCCCCCCCCCCTCACCTCCTGTTGCCTGGGCTATCCTCTTCCCCCCCTCACCTCCTGTTGCCTTGGCAATCCTCTTCCCCCCCTCACCTCCTGTTGCCTTGGCAATCCTCTTCCCCCCCTCACCTCCTGTTGCCTTGCCTATCCTCTTCCCCCCCCCTCACCTCCTGTTGCCTTGGCTATCCTCTCCCCCCCCCTCACCTCCTGTTTCCTTGGCTATCCTCTTCCCCCCCTCACCTCCTGTTGCCTTGGCAATCCTCTTCCCCCCCCTCACCTCCTGTTGCCTTGGCTATCCTCTTCCCCCCCTCACCTCCTGTTGCCTTGGCTATCCTCTTCCCCCCCCTCACCTCCTGTTGCCTTGGCTATCCTTTTCCCCCCCTCACCTCCTGTTGCCTTGGCAATCCTCTTCAGGTCTCTCTTCAGGACCCGTCTGATCGCCATGGCGCCCACGTCCACAAAGTACTTGAGGCACATGTCGTCGATGCCTCCCGTGGTCAGGATCACGTTGGCTCCAGACGCCAAGATCTTCTGGATCCTCTCTTTAGTGATGTCAGACTCTCTGGGAACGAGACCAGCAGATGTTCACACCAAGTGTCAGACCAGAGAGACCAGCGAGAGTCCAGCAGGTGTTCACACCAAGTGTCAGACCAGAGAGACCAGAGACCAGCGAGAGTCCAGCAGGTGTTCACACCAAGTGTCAGACCAGCGAGAGTCCAGCAGGTGTTCACACCAAGTGTCAGACCAGCGAGAGTCCAGCAGGTGTTCACACCAAGTGTCAGACCAGCGAGAGTCCAGCAGGTGTTCACACCAAGTGTCAGACCAGAGAGACCAGCGAGTCCAGCAGGTGTTCACACCAAGTGTCAGACCAGAGAGACCAGCAAGTGTTCACACCAAGTGTCAGACCAGAGAGACCAGCAAGTGTTCACACCAAGTGTCAGACCAGCGAGAGTATAGCAGGTGTTCACACCAAGTGTCAGACCAGAGAGACCAGCGAGAGTCCAGCAGGTGTTCACACCAAGTGTCAGACCAGCAGAGACCAGCGAGAGACCAGCAGAATGACCACATTTGCAGATTAAAGCTTGTTACTGAATAAAACAGACTGGACTAAAGTAGTTTTAACCCATTGAGGTCAGGAGCACTGTTGCACACATCTGTTTTACCAGGTGTGTGTGTGGTTTACCAGGTGGGTCAGGCCTTAATGGTGTAAACTTTTACATCAGAGAAAGCTGTGCAGCTCAGGGCCGCGGTGCAACAGCGACAAACACTGAGGCTCCGCCCCTGAGCCCACTCTACTGTGTCCCACGCGTATCACTGTGAGGACTACGGACCAGAACCACAGGAAAATAAATGGGACTGAAACCCTGTGTGTGCACGTGCGTCACCTCTGCCTGATCAGGTCCAGCTTCTCTGGGTCGTTGATGATGACTTGGACGCCCATCTTCATCTTGGTCTTCTGCAGACTGAAGTCCAGACAGGCAATCTTAGCGTTCACCACACGCTTCACCATGCCTTAAAACACACAAACACACTTATAAGCAGACTCTACATGGTCACGTCTGGACCAGTGAATGCAGAAGGACCAGCTGAGCAGTCATGATCAGAGTATTGTAAATTATTCAATCCAAAGCTAACAGGGCTAAAGCTACGGCTAACAGACTGAAGCTAACAGTAGGAGCTAAACCCAGAAGTATTTGTTACACCTGTGTGATCCAGATTTTTTGACTTCTTTTATCACCTCCACAAAACTGTTTACAGCAAACAGTCTATTATTAGGATGGTTTGTGCAAAGGCACCCCCTAAAGGCTTAGAAGAGTATTACACTAACTTTGTTTTCCTTTATCGCAGGAAACAAGGAGAGCAGAGTTTATTTACAACGAGGTGCACAGGAGGAGTGTGTGTGTCCAGAGAAGGAGGTGCACAGGTGTGTGTCCAGAGGAAGAGGTGCACAGGAGTGTGTCCAGAGGAAGAGGTGCACAGGAGTGTGTCCAGAGGAAGAGGTGCACAGGAGTGTGTCCAGAGGAAGAGGTGCACAGGAGTGTGTCCAGAGGAAGAGGTGCACAGGAGTGTGTCCAGAGGAAGAGGTGCACAGGTGTGTGTCCAGAGGAAGAGGTGCACAGGAGTGTGTCCAGAGGAAGAGGTGCACAGGAGTGTGTCCAGAGGAAGAGGTGCACAGGTGTGTGTCCAGAGAAGGAGGTGCACAGGTGTGTGTCCAGAGGAAGAGGTGCACAGGAGTGTGTCCAGAGGAAGAGGTGCACAGGAGTGTGTCCAGAGGAAGAGGTGCACAGGTGTGTGTCCAGAGGAAGAGGTGCACAGGTGTGTGTCCAGAGGAAGAGGTGCACAGGTGTGTGTCCAGAGGAAGAGGTGCACAGGTGTGTGTCCAGAGGAAGAGGTGCACAGGAGTGTGTCCAGAGGAAGAGGTGCACAGGAGTGTGTCCAGAGGAAGAGGTGCACAGGAGTGTGTCCAGAGGAAGAGGTGCACAGGTGTGTGTCCAGAGGAAGAGGTGCACAGGTGTGTGTCCAGAGGAAGAGGTGCACAGGTGTGTGTCCAGAGGAAGAGGTGCACAGGTGTGTGTCCAGAGGAAGCGGTGCACAGGTGTGTGTCCAGAGGAAGAGGTGCACAGGTGTGTGTCCAGAGGAAGAGGTGCACAGGTGTGTGTCCAGAGGAAGAGGTGCACAGGAGTGTGTCCAGAGGAAGAGGTGCACAGGAGTGTGTCCAGAGGAAGAGGTGCACAGGTGTGTGTCCAGAGGAAGAGGTGCACAGGAGTGTGTCCAGAGGAAGAGGTGCACAGGTGTGTGTCCAGAGGAAGAGGTGCACAGGTGTGTGTCCAGAGGAAGAGGTGCACAGGTGTGTGTCCAGAGGAAGAGGTGCACAGGTGTGTGTCCAGAGGAAGAGGTGCACAGGTGTGTGTCCAGAGGAAGAGGTGCACAGGAGTGTGTCCAGAGGAAGAGGTGCACAGGTGTGTGTCCAGAGGAAGAGGTGCACAGGTGTGTGTCCAGAGGAAGAGGTGCACAGGAGTGTGTCCAGAGGAAGAGGTGCACAGGAGTGTGTCCAGAGGAAGAGGTGCACAGGTGTGTGTCCAGAGGAAGAGGTGCACAGGTGTGTGTCCAGAGGAAGAGGTGCACAGGTGTGTGTCCAGAGGAAGAGGTGCACAGGTGTGTGTCCAGAGGAAGAGGTGCACAGGTGTGTGTCCAGAGGAAGAGGTGCACAGGAGTGTGTCCAGAGGAAGAGGTGCACAGGAGTGTGTCCAGAGGAAGAGGTGGCACAGGTGTGTGTCCAGAGGAAGAGGTGCACAGGTGTGTGTCCAGAGGAAGAGGTGCACAGGTGTGTGTCCAGAGGAAGAGGTGCACAGGTGTGTGTCCAGAGGAAGCGGTGCACAGGTGTGTGTCCAGAGGAAGAGGTGCACAGGTGTGTGTCCAGAGGAAGAGGTGCACAGGTGTGTGTCCAGAGGAAGAGGTGCACAGGTGTGTGTCCAGAGGAAGAGGTGCACAGGTGTGTGTCCAGAGGAAGAGGTGCACAGGTGTGTGTCCAGAGGAAGAGGTGCACAGGTGTGTGTCCAGAGGAAGAGGTGCACAGGTGTGTGTCCAGAGGAAGAGGTGCACAGGTGTGTGTCCAGAGGAAGAGGTGCACAGGTGTGTGTCCAGAGGAAGAGGTGCACAGGTGTGTGTCCAGAGGAAGAGGTGCACAGGTGTGTGTCCAGAGGAAGAGGTGCACAGGTGTGTGTCCAGAGGAAGAGGTGCACAGGTGTGTGTCCAGAGGAAGAGGTGCACAGGTGTGTGTCCAGAGGAAGAGGTGCACAGGTGTGTGTCCAGAGAGGAGGTGCACAGGTGTGTGTCCAGAGAGGAGGTGCACAGGTGTGTGTCCAGAGGGGAGGTGCACAGGTGTGTGTCCAGAGGAAGAGGTGCACAGGTGTGTGTCCAGAGGAAGAGGTGCACAGGTGTGTGTCCAGAGAGGAGGTGCACAGGTGTGTGTCCAGAGGAAGAGGTGCACAGGTGTGTGTCCAGAGGAAGAGGTGCACAGGTGTGTGTCCAGAGGAAGAGGTGCACAGGTGTGTGTCCAGAGAGGAGGTGCACAGGTGTGTGTCCAGAGGAAGAGGTGCACAGGAGTGTGTCCAGAGGAAGAGGTGCACAGGTGTGTTTCCAGAGAGGAGGTGCACAGGTCACAGGGACTTGCTCCTCCTCAGAGCCAGTGTATTGTGTCCCACGCGTATCGCTGTCTGCAGCAGAGGAGGAGGCAGCAGCAAATCAAATGGGAGTGTGTTTCTCTCTGTGCCTGTGTGTGTTTCTGTGTGTGCGCGTTTCTCTCTGTGCGTGTGTGTTTCTCTCTGTGCGTGTGTGTTTCTCACCCTGGGAGCCCACGGTGCAGTTCAGGGCGTAGCCGTTAACCAGGAAGCTCTCCTTTTGGCTGCGGCCGTGAGCTTTGAGGACGTTCACGGCGTTTATTGGATATTTGGCCAAACCTTTAGAATCTGTGAACTTCACTGCGAGAGCTGCATCCACCACCATCTCCGAGAAGAAGTCAGAGTCCCTGAGCTCTAAGTTAAAGATATAAGTAGGGATGCACGATAATATCGGTGCCCGATAATTATCGGCAATATTGAACGATCTACAGATAAGTCCGATAGTAAGAATTCAACCGTTTATGCTGCTGCAAATTTAAATCGATGGAATAAAAAAACTTAACGGGTTGGTATGTGAAAAGGCAGAGATGATACGGTTTGATAAGAAATCTACCACTGAGTAGTAGTTTTTGTCTTTATTTGAACCCTGATCCCTTTGTTTTATCATTGAATATTGCCTTTTTATTGATTTCTCTATAGAAATGGATCTTATTTTACTGTCAGGGGACATTTTTTTGTGCTAATGTTATACATTGAATGTTATGGACCCATTTCTATTGGCCTCTTTTTTAATACATTGCTCTGTTTAAGCCTTTGAAGCAAGAAAATATAAGTTGAGAAATTCCAACTTTTTGCTCTACTAAGTGATTCTTGACATATTTTTGGGTCAAAATTAAAGCAGGAGATATGTTTGTATTTAAAACTAGAGTTAATTAGGCAAAGAATTATCTGTTATCGATATCGGCAGACATAAAAATATTGGTTTAACGATATCGGTTGAAATTTGCACTATCGTGCATCCCTAGATACAAGTCTAACCATCTGAGAAGAAGTCACGAGTCCCTGAGCTCTAAGTTAGAGATATAAGTAACTGCACCAAAGTGAAGGATACACCCCGATGATCTTGGAGGACATGGAGGTCTTGGCGGCGTTGACCAAACACTCTCTGCCCAGCTCGTCTGCACTGATGGTCAGGTTCTCGTTGATGTAGCGCACTGCCTCCCTGTGGACACACCAGGAACAGCTATAAGTGTTGTTCCTCAGGTACCAGAGATAACATGTGTTTATACATTTCACACATGGTCCTCTGTGTCCAAATCTTACTTCCTGTAACTTCAGCAGTGACAGGTTCAAACCCCAAATGTGTTTTTCAACAGTCAAACAGATCCCAGACCAGCGGACACCACAGCCACCGGCCGAGACTTTGGTCATATACGGTCTGACCGCCCTCGGGTCAAAAGGACTCACAGAAATAGAATGTAGGTTTACGGTAGGTCTACAGTAGGGTCACAGGTCTACAGTAGGTGTACAGTAGGTGTACAGCAGGTCTACAGTAGGTCACAGTAGGTTTACAGTAGGTTCATACTTGCAGGCCAGACGATATCCGCTGATGACAGACGTTGGGTGGATCTTCTGCTTCACCAGCTCATCTGCACTCTTCAGGAGCTCTGCAGCAAGGATCACCTACACACACACACAAAGAACACACACACAGAGACAGAATACACACAGACACATTAATACTTTGCACCCAGAGTGAGAACAGACTGTAGTGACAGATGTTGTGCCGTGGCTTCATTAGGAGGGAGAGAAAAGCAGTTCTCAGACTCCTTCAGACAGCAACGAAAAACTTATCTGTCCTGTTAGCATAGCCACACGTCTGGAGGAGGCAGACACATGGTACTAGAACAGGACCATCAACCACCAGAGAGAGACCAGAGATGGTTGTTCCATTGAACATAGAAGTCCTCACCACAGACGTGGTCCCGTCCCCGACCTCCTTGTCCTGCAGTTCTGCCAGCTCACACAGGACCTTGGCTGCGGGATGTTCCACTTCCAGCAGCTTCAAGATGGTAGCTCCATCGTTAGTGATGGTCACGTCCTGATGAAAGACAACACAGGCACTCTAGAGGAGACAGGACTTTATTGATCTCACACAACGACTGTCACGAGAAACAGGACACAGGTCTAAGACCCACTGGTTTAGGACAGAGGCCCCACACATAGGCCTGCCACGATAGCAAATTTTGCTGGACAGTAAATAGTCTCAGAAATTATTGCGATAAGCGATAATATTGTTCTGTTTTCCAACAAATGCAACACACCGACTCCAACACGTTCAGAAGTTCACCACAGGTATTCGGTTTAAATCCGAAATGCTCCCACACTGCAGCTGTCGCGTTTGGCTTAAAAACCAATTCCATTGTTTTGTCTCAAATTCGCAACTAGCTTTTTCTGACTAGAGCCTACCAGTGCTTCTCACACAGCTCTGCAGCTGCACTCTGTGGTAGACTACGCCAGCAGTCCCACCTCCCCACACACCATGCCACTGACAAGTAACATGAGGATTCACTCATCGTTACTCTAAGGACCCGAGAGAGAGAAAGAGTGAGAGAGACGAGGAACACAAACAAGCATGCAAATGGCATTTATCGCTGCCAAAAAAAATGATTGAGCTAATTTTAATTATCATGCGATTAATTGATTAATTGAATATTGCAACAGGCTTACCCACACAGCAACTGTGGTGGACTCTGCCCTTTAAACAACTTTGCTTCTATACATTTAGAGAATTAGATGTGACTAGTGCATCCAGAACTCACCCCAATGTCGTCCACCAGCATCTTGTCCAGGCCGACTGGTCCCAGAGAACTTTTGACAATGTTCGCGATGGAGGACGCAGCCATGACTGCAGGAAGAGACATGAAACACACTGGATTTAATCAAGTCAGATTTATACTCATCTTTATTATGCTAAAGCTATAGATTTCACACTTGATCATTATGCATGAGCTGAAGATGTGACGCTTTCTTTTTTACTGTGTTCCTTAGTCCTAGTGTTCTGTACCTGGTGATGCAACACTGACATTTCCCCACAATAAAGGATCTTCATCTTTTCCGTGTATATAGTGAATAAAGAATACATTTTACTTTGCACATTGATCGCAAGCAGAATTTCCAACGGACACGAGAAGAACCGGTTTTGTTCTAATTAAAACTAACTGCCCATTTTACATCAAAATAAGGCAGACACAAATGTTGGCTCCGAGTAGGACGTGCTTATACTCAGATGCATGTCACTGACGTGCACACATGGATCAGACTCAGTAACATCATTTAGCCTCAGACTGAGCCACGCCTTCAGACCATGACAGTGTTTCTGTAGCTGTTAGCATAGCCTCCCATTCAATTATGTGTAGACTACTTATAAAACAGGCAACTGTTTATTTACAAAACCGTCTGAGAAACGACAACGACAATTAAAACTGCTTCATATGGAGACTCCAATGTCTTCATCCCGCAGTAAAAGAACTGGCCTAATCCTTAACTTTAACTACATTAACTGTTCTTAGCACTGCCAATATCCTGCTTTGGGCCCTTCACGATGATCGTCCATTGATATACAGTACCTTATAATATGTCCCCCTGTCCGGGACAAAATGCCAACATTGTAGTGATGCAGTTAGCATTAGCATTAGCATTAGCATTAGCATTAGCATTAGCCACACGTGTGACGCAGCCGAAGAAGGCTCTTTACAGCGGGGAAAGGCCATGTGTCTCCGGCTGGAGCTGGGTGAAGTGTAGGGCAGTGTGTGGGTCTGACTGACCGTTCTGGGTGCGGACAGACTCCCCCGTGGTCCTCTGTCCGAGCACGTTTAAGGGACCGTCCAGGAGCGACATGTTGGAGGCTGTGGAGGAGAAGAAAGAAGGGCCGCGGTGCACGCTGGGTAATGGCTGTGGAAGCGTCCAGAAGGAAATGATGATAATAATACAAAATAATAAAAATACATCAAACTTTTGTAGAACTTTTGGGACACTCAAAGACGCTTTACAAAACACATAAAATAAATATTGAAGAATATAATTAAGTACAGGCACGAAGTCAGCAAAAAGACTCCGTTGTGTGTGTGTGTGTGCGTGCGTGCGTGCGTGTGTGTGTGTGTGTGTGGAGAGTATGCGTGTATTACAGTCTATGGAATGTATGTGTGTGAGCGTGTATGTGTGTGTATGTGTGTGAGCGTGTATGTGTGTGTGTATGTGTGTGAGCGTGTATGTGTGTGTGTATGTGTGTGTGTATGTGTGTGAGCGTGTATGTGTGTGTATGTGTGTGAGCGTGTATGTGTGTGTGTATGTGTGTGAGCGTGTATGTGTGTGTGTATGTGTGTGTGTATGTGTGTGAGCGTGTATGTGTGTGTGTATGTGTGTGTGTATGTGTGTGAGCGTGTATGTGTGTGTGTATGTGTGTGAGCGTGTATGTGTGTGTGTATGTGTGTGAGCGTGTATGTGTGTGTGTATCTGTGTGTGTGTGTGTGTGAGCGTGTGTGTGAGCGTGTATGTGTGCACTTGTTTTCAACTCCTGGTGGGTTCCATAACCTGAGGTTCCACTCACGTCATGGGGACTGGTTTTACGTGGTGGGGCCCGAACACCGGACCCCACTGGTCCAAGCTTAATAATCAATGGGTAATGCTTTTCTAACGGTCCTTATGCAGTCTCTGTAAAAATATGGAAAGGACCCCTGGAGGTTTACTTTCCTGAAAAAAGTGTGTTATGTGTCGGAACCCTGGTGGTGGGTTGCGGGATATCAAGGAGGGGCACACTGGGGCAATTTCAGTCCAGCAGGCTGGAGCCAATCATGGAGCAGCACAACAGAGGCTGGAGCCAATCATGGAGCAGCACAACAGAGGCTGGAGCCAATCATGGAGCAGCACAACAGAGGAAATCAGGTGTCAGGCTAGAAAAGGTGCAAGTGTGTGGTTCATTAGGCTGCAAGAAATCATGGAGGAGCACACTGAAGCGCACGCTTACAAACCACTGGTAAGTGCTGACTACAAGTCATGACTTCAAATTGTTATATAGAATGATTACAAATTATTTGTTGTTTGTGCAGCTTAGTCAAGAGTCCCTAATTGATGAAGTCGACTCAGATTCTGACGATTTAACTGTCAAGAAGAAACCTGTAAAAAAGTATGGAAAAAGAAAAATCAAAAACACTTTTCTTCAAGACTCGGAAAGTGACGAACCAAAGGCAAAATAAGATTGTTATCATGCAGCTGCAAAAGAAGAAAAATGGGGGGCGAGTTTACAGCAAGAGACACTTCTGCCTCTACTGTTCAATGTCCTGCCACAAAATGTCCCGTCATTTGACTAGAAAACATGGAAATGAAAGTGACGTAGCCAGAGCATTGGCTCTACCTGTGAAATCTAAAGCACGTAAACTTCAGTTTGATTTGATCAGGAATAGTGGAAACCGTGAGCACAATTTTGAGGTTTTAAAGGCCGGCATTGGAACTTTAGTCCCAGCTAAACAGCCAAATTGCCCAGTTAAATCCAGTGAGTTTTTGCACTGTATAGACTGTGGGGCATTGCTTAAGCGAAAGTGGCTGTGGAGGCATGTGGCCAGGTGCCGGCTTTCACAGAAAGATGCCCAGGCTAAACCAGGTAGAAGTAGGGTCCAGTCCCTCTGCTCCCTAGCCCAGCCTGTACCGGAGGGCATCAGCAAAAAGCTGTGGTCTTTAATTTCGGCAATGCATCAGGATGAGGTCACGGGTGTTGTCAAAGCAGAAAAGGGGATTCTGAGACTCGGAGAGCACCTGTACTTAAAACACGGGCATGATAAGACAAAGCATGATTACATTAGGCAGAAAATGAGAGAAGTCGGTAGGTTAATTAACGAAGCAAAAACCGCAGGGAAACTGAAAACAATTAAGGATTTCTTTATTCCTTCCAACTTTAACCATGTGATTGATGCAGTCAGGTCTGTGGCTGGATATGATGAGGAAACAAATCAATACAAGACTCCATCCTTGGCCCTCAAACTCGGCCATAGCCTCAGAAAGCTAGCAGATATTCTTGAATGTGACTCAAAAATGGAGCATTGTGTTGATGAACTATTTATTAAAAACCTCCAACGAAGCCGGCTGCTTTTTGAGAAGAGGTGGGACGTCTGTGTTTCTTCTGCTGCCCTACAGACCCTCCGGCAAGCCAAGTGGAACACTCCGGACCTGCTCCCTCTGACTGAGGACGTTAGAGCCATGCATGCACATATTGAGGTATGTCGACCTGAATATGTGCAAACCCTAATAAGTGAGCCAACGTCTAAGCATTGGTCTAAACTGGCAGTTTTGACTCTTTGTGAGGTCATCATTTTCAATCGAAGAAGGGAAGGTGAGGTTTCAAAGATGCCACTGACAGCGTTTACCTTAAGAAGTAAGACTGGGATCCATTCTGACATTGCTCTGGGACTGTCCCAACTTGAGAAAAAGCTGTGTCAGCATTTTCAACGCATTGAAATTAAAGGGAAAAGAAGTCGGAAAGTGCCGGTTCTTTTGACTCCTGAAATGATTGCTTCGATGGAGGTGCTGGTGGAGAACAGAAGGGCCTGTTCCATCTCTGACCATAACCCATACTTCTTTTCCCGCCCGGGCGCAGACACCCACATCAGGGGATCAGACTCCCTACGCCAGGTAGCCAAAGAATGTGGTGCGGTGCATCCAGAGATGCTATCCTCAACCAAACTTAGAAAGCACATAGCTACTATGTCTACAGTTCTCAATATGAAAGAGAATGAGATGGACATACTTGCCAACTTCCTCGGCCATGACATTCGCATCCACAGGCAATATTACAGACTACCAGAGGGGACACTGGAGCTGGCCAAAATCAGCAAAGTGTTGATGGCCATGGAGCAGGGAAGAGTGACGGAATTCGAAGGAAAGAGCCTCGACCAGATACAAATTGAGCCTGAAGGTAATTCTTGATATTATTAAAATATGTATGATTTTTTTCCCCTAAAGGCCACTTGTATTTTTATTTTCTGTGCGACAGGGAGAGCAGTAGAGATCCTCTCACAAACGGACGGGCTAAAAGAAACTTCAAGCGGAGAACCTTCAACCATTCATCCAGATGCACCCCATGGTAGTGGCAGTGCCCCTTCTGGTAAGTGTACCAGGTGGGGGATTACAGCCAGGCTGCTTGGTCCTCACCCTGGGAGTGTATATTGCTAATATATTTTTATTTCTCTCCCTAGAACGTGTAAGAAAGCCATGGTCTGCATCTGAGGTGAAGGCTGTGGAGAAGACCATGACACCTTTCATACAGACTGGAAAGGTCCCTGGGAAGTCTCACTGCCTGGCCTGCATTAATGCCTCACCAGATGACCTTAGACATCGGACATGGAGTGGCATTAAATTCTATGTCAAAAATAGAATCACTGCAATTCGAAAACAAAATCTAAAATAAAATTCCTTTAAAATAGTTGTTTGGTTTCTATTGACTGTTTTGTATTACTTAAAGTCTTGGTAAAAAAAGATTATGTCTATGGGTCCCATTCTGAACGGCCCTGTCAAAGGGACCCACCAGGTAACAAAAACGTGTATGTGTGTGTGTATATGTGTGAGCGTGTATGTGTGTGTGTATGTGTGTGAGCGTGTATGTGTGTGAGCGTGTATCTGCCAACTGCATTAGCCGGCACTAGCAGCTAACTAATGCTAACTGCGGTAACAATGGAAACTGCTCACGTTTAAGATAAGATAAGAAATAAGACGTGCTTTATTTATCTCACATAGGAGAAATTTACATGTCACGTTTAGCATGGATAGAGACACTCAGATTGTGCAAAAGGAGGAAATGTGCAAACATGTTACATGCAGGATATACAGTGCCTTGCGAAAGTATTCGCCCCCCTTGAACCTTTCAACATTTCGCCACATTTCAGGCTTCAAACATAAAGATATAAAAAAAAAAATTTTTTTGTCAAGAATCAACAACAAGTGGGACACAACCGTGAAGTGGAGTGAAATTTATTGGATAATTTAAACTTTTTTAACAAATAAAAAACTGAAAAGTGGGGCATGCAATATTATTCGGCCCCCTTGCGCTAATACTTTTTAGCGCCACCTTTTGCTGCAATTACAGCTGCAAGTCGCTTGGGGTATGTCTCTATCAGTTTTGCACATCGAGAGACTTCTTGAGAGAATTCTTGCCCATTCTTCCTTGCAAAACAGCTGGAGCTCAGTGAGGTTGGATGGAGAGCGTTTGTGAACAGTAGTCTTCAGCTCTTTCCACAGATTCTCGATTGGATTCAGGTCTGGACTTTGACTTGGCCATTCTAACACCTGGATACGTCTATTTGTGAACCATTCCATTGTAGATTTGGCTTTATGTTTTGGATCATTGTCCTGTTGGAAGATAAATCTCCGTCCCAGTCTCAGGTCTTTTGCAGACTCCAACAGGTTTTCTTCCAGAATGGTCCTGTATTTGGCTCCATCCATCTTCCCATCAATTTTAGCCATCTTCCCTGTCCCTGCTGAAGAAAAGCAGGCCCAAAGCATGATGCTGCCACCACCATGTTTGACAGTGGGGATGGTGTGTTCAGGGTGATGAGCTGTGTTGCTTTTACGCCAAACATATCGTTTTGCATTGTGGCCAAAAAGTTTGATTTTGGTTTCATCTGACCAGAGCACCTTCTTCCACATGTTTGGTGTGTCTCCCAGGTGGCTTGTGGCAAACTTTAAACCAGACTTTTTATGGATATCTTTGAGAAATGGCCACTCTTCCATAAAGGCCAGATTTGTGCAGTGCACGACTGATTGTTGTCCTATGGACAGACTCTCCCACCTCAGCTGTAGTTATCTGCAGTTCATCCAGAGTGATCATGGGCCTCTTGGCTGCATCTCTGATC